TATACAAACACGTCAGCACCTCGATATACCGACAGTCAATTTGGCACCGCTGAAGAGCCTGGAGTACCGCCCAAATTTCGACAGAATCGAAGGCTTTCTCATAGTCCACATACGCTAGGCACAAAGGCAGATTATACTCTTCGGTCTTCTGTATAATCTGCCGCAAGGTGTGTATGTGGTCTATGGTACTGAAGCCTTTTCGGAATCCGGCTTGTTCGGGAGGCTGGAAGTCGTCGAGTCTGGATGCGAGACGATTCAAGATGACTCTTGAGAATAGCACATAGACGCGGCTCAGAAGGGATATCGGTCTATAGTTCTTCAAGAGAGCGTTATCGCCTTTCTTGAAGAACAGCACCACCACACTTCTGGTCCACGCCTCTGGTGTAGCACCACCCTGAAGGACGGAATTAAAGAGCCTCTGAAGGACTACAAGTACCGGTTCTCCACCCGCTTTCAGAAGCTCTGCTGTAATTCCGTCCTCTCCTGATGCTTTGCCATTCTTAAGATGGTCAAGAGCCATTCTAATCTCGCTCAGACTGACGTCCGGGATATTATCGGAATAGTGTCGGATAAGCTTTGCTCTTGGGTCGTTACTCACACATGTGTGTGGCTCCAACAACGATGTGTACAGCTGTCCATAGAACCTCTCTATCTCACTCAAAACCTCTGGTCTACTGGAGATGATAACGCCGCTGTCACTCTTCAACTTAGTCAGTTGGCTTTGTCCGATAGACAGATCTCTGGCGAAGACTTTTGAGCCTAGGTTCCGCTCTATAGCTCCCTCAATACGACCTGTATTGAAGTTGCGTAAGTCTCGCCGCATGTATTGGGAGATCTGCCTATTAAGCCGCCCGTAGTCCGACATGTCAGTTAGAGACTGCAACCGCATCTCTCGTCTTTTTACCAAGAGGTTGAGAGTGTGATCAGAGAGTTTTTGGGTTCTATTTTTGCGGCGGGCCTTATAAAATTTAAGGCCCGCGGCATGGACAGTTTCCACGAGCTTTGCATTAATATCGTCCACCGTGCTGCAATTTTCTAGGCATTGGAAACGATTATGTAGCTCGAGCTGAAAGCTTTCGGAGTTCTGGATATGGGCACGAGATGGTCGGAGTGTGGACTTCATCAGACGAGATCTTTCCAGCCTAATGTTAATATTCAATGTGCCTCTCACTAATCGGTGATCACTTCCGGTCTTCACCCTTGATGAAATGAAATGCGCATGATTTCCGTCAATTATTTTTTTATTTTTATGCAACAATTTTCTATGGATCTAATCCATAATTTACAATCAGACTCATGTTAGATTTGACCGTCAAGAATGGAACATTCTAGTTACAATTTGTTGACTTACGCCCGGTTTCCATAACACTGATCATCGTAGAAGTCAACTAATCAGCTGTCAAATGGCTTTTCAAATGTTATTTGAGTTGCCAAAAGGATTGTTAGACTCTCTGAATTGATCAGAATGATCATGATCATGATCAGAATTCTTGTTGTGTTAATTGACTTCTACGATGATCAGTGTTTCTGAAACCGGGCGTTAGTCCGATATTAAATCTTATTATAAAACTTTGAATTACATAGTAAGAAGAATGAGTAGTATAATTATTGGAAATTAAATTACTTGATTTACTGATTTGAATATAAACTATTTAAATAACATATATAACTTTAATTTATAGGTTTTTCTCCAGTACAGTCCCAACCTAGACTACTATAATAGAATATAAACAATTTTGATCGAAACATAAAAATGTAAAAACAGTCGATAAGAATATCCGAAATCCCATGCGAGGTGCATCCCTAGCGACTCTTAATCAAAAAAAGATTTATTACCGAACGCTTACTACAAAATGGCCATAAAATATCGCGTCCAATTTGTACAAATTATACAGAGAAAAAAAAACAGAAAACCTCGCGCCATTTTTTGCCGCGCTCCATTCTATCGTTTTTATTTTTTCATATCGCGCACGATATAGATTCCAACGGACTAGCTCAGCCCCCGGCTGCACTCGCGTGTGATTAGCCACTTATTAGTATTTTCCTTTCGGTAAACATATAAACGGAGCCGTGATTGCTCAGTGTCCGGGCGCTCGCCTTTAATTCAATTGACTCGAGAAACCTGGAGTTCGATCACCAATGAAATTGTTGATTTTAAGTGCTGACTTATCACGTGCTCGGCGGTGAAGGAAAACATCGTGAGGAATCCTGCACATTTTCGAAATAATAAGAAACAAAAATATTTCGAAAATATTTGAAGTCCGCCAATTCGCAAAGGAGTCGCGTGGTGGACTATGCCCTGATACCCTCTATACAGAGGCCTTTGCCCATCAGTGGGACATTTATAGGCTGTTACTTTTAAACATATCTGCCCCAAAGGCGTAGTGGATAGTGAAACTGTCACTTACACCAGAAGGTGTGGCTTGGCAGAAGGCGTCAGGCAGATGGTGGTAAAAATGGAGTCAACTACTATTAGCAACAGTTGTCATGTACCCATCTCACAAAGGTGGATTTATGTAAAGAGAAAGAAGGATATGTCGGTAAATTCGTGTTTATTACGTGATATCACTGTTTATATTGAAATTCTGCAGTCTGGATCTTTTAAGTTATTTTAAATATTAAAATAAATTTCAGTATCCTTATTTATATATATCCTTATTCAGTATCCTTATATACTAGCATCAGGTCGGCAGTAGCTGCAAGTCATGCAAAGCAATTGTAACAATCCCTTTTAATTGGGGTTGTTTCGACAAGATTCCAAAATGACTTCAGTCGACTTCTTTGTTTATCGTGGTTGATAGGACTAAAGTTTTTACTCGAAAAGGTACAGTTAAAAGGTAATAAAAAAAGGAAACGATTTCGTATGCAATTTATTGGGCTTCCGCTGTGGTCTTTTTCGTCTCGATGGATTGCAGGAAACCGCTGGAGGAGAACGGACATGGTTAGAGTATTATGTACAAAGTTGGTATAAAAGTAAAGTAAAGTTACGACCTACATATTATATGGCCACGGCTGGGTAAAGGTCTACTCTGTACAAAGGGTGTTAGGGCATAGTCCACCACGAGACCCTACTGTAGATTGGCGGATTTCACATGTCTTCGAAATATATCTTTTGTTTCATTTCGAAAATGTAATGGTTTTTCTCGCGATGTTTTCCTTGACCGCTGAGCACATGATACCTAAGTCAGCACTTAAAATTAACAATTTCATTGGTGTCGGCACCAGGGTTCCAACTCGGGATGCTTGAGTACATTGAATTAAAAGCTATTGCTAGTGCTATTAAGTTAGAATACATTGTGATAAATATTGCACATCGACGTTTGGAAAGAGACCATCGTCAAATTTCGGCTTCGTAGAGAGTTATCTCTTTCGCACGAAGCAGTAACAGCCATAGGTGGTCTGTGAGAGTATTGCATTTCGATTGTGCCTATAATTGGGATGTCTATTAGCAATTCGAATATCTAATCGAACATAAGTTTCACAATTGGAAATAAAATCTCAATAAAAAAAGCTGGCATTCTTACAATGTTGCCGCCGCCTTTTTAAACGATTTCCTAAAAAAACTATAATTGCGATCGTCAGAGACGAGAATGCGTCCATTTCCGGGCACGTACGATTCCTGTCATCGATTATTTATGTCTTTCGAGTTTTTACGACACCGTTCGGTCCCGATCGTATGCTCTCAGAGGTCATCCGTACTGCGAAATACTACTTTCGGATTGCTCCTGTTTTAACACATTTAGCACCTACCGGTACCTTATAATTAATTTTACTTTTAGTCTCAGCAAACGCAACAGACGTTTTCCTGTACACGCGAATTAAATCCAATAAGTTATAAATAATAATTTAAATAAAACTAATTGTGAAACTAAACCATTCTTGAATCGACCTGACGACACACAAAAATTTCATTAAAATCTGTCCAGCCGTTTAGGAGGAGTTCAGTGACATACACACGTACTGAAGAATTATATATATATAAAGGAGAGATTGTCGAATTATTCGAATCTGCGCCGTTCGGGTAAGGCGTCCATACACTCAAAAATATATTTATTCAAATAGACGCTTGCGCGTTCTTATGAATTGTCATATTTTACATCAAAAATTATATAGTGTTCGTCAGGTCCGCTACAAACACTGAGCTTAGCGGTCGATAATCGATATCCTTACCTTGCGAAATACATGACGCTTTATTTAGCTAGGTACCGGTTTTGTTGCATTTTTAGCAATGGCGCCATCTACTGTGCTTCAATATATTACGCATATTACCTACGTATACGATCCTATCTAAATGTGCGGGATGTCGATGGATGCAAGTGCCTCAGGATCGTACTTTGTGGCAGTCTATGGGGGAGGCCTATGTTCAGCAGTGGATTCAAATGATGATGGGACGATCCTACCCACTACCCCCAAGTTTTTGGGGGTCAGAGCCTGAAGTATCTCGGAAACTGAACATCAAACATATTATAGATAATAAAAAGAAAAATATAGTTCATTAGGATTATTAAAAAATAGCTGGGAAAATAAAATGAAATACTATCATGTAGCTTAGAAAAGGACAAGTTATTTTTTGCGAATATATTTTATGTTAGGATAGCCGTGATAGCTCATTATCCGGGCGCTCAATTTTAATTCTAAAAGCAACCTGAGTTCGATATCCGATGCCGTCACCGATGAAATTGTTAATTTTAAGTGCTGACTTATCAAGTGCTCAGTGGTGAAGGAAAACCTCGTAACAAATCCTGCATATTGTCGAAATGATAACAAAAGAAAAATATTTCTAAGATATATGAAGCCCGCCAATCCGCAGTGGGGCCGCGTGGTGGACTACGCCCTAATACCCTCTGTACAGAGGAGGCCTTAGCCCAGATGTGGGACATTACAGGCTGTTACTTTACTTTTATTAAAAAAATGCTTCATAAACGATATGGCGGTAGAGATGTGCAAGTAATGCAGTCAGACAAAACTCCTTAGCATGGGTACAGTATGACAGCACTCACCTCACGACTTGGGGCAGTTCTGAAGCCTGGTAGAGGTTGTTGTGGCCGAGGCCACGGCCTCTCTCGAAGCTGTGCATCACCAGCGGGCAGCTGGAGGTCTGCCCTGCCCTGCTCTGCTCAGCGCAGTGGTACAACTAGAAGTTCCCAGGTTTCGTGCAAGTTAGTGTATAGAATCTGCCGTCAGCTAACTTGTATTCTATTTTAAGGGTTGGGTAGTAAGTCCCAACGACCATAGCGACCTAGAGAGATCTATTTTAGTCTAACATTGCTCCCTTATAGTAGGATTAAATTGCTATGTGTTTTGGACGTTTCACAAACATAAATTTCACGTATACAAACACCCTGGTTCTAAAAAATTGTCTGTGGGTCAAACAAATAGTCGTCCCATGCGGGAATCGATCTGGACAAATATTTGTGTTTCATATTACACGTCCAATATTTTTTTCAAATCAATCTCATAAAATATTCATTGTAATTAACTATCATATATAGTGATAAGGTTTTTAACTGTTACCAAGTTAACAGTTAACAGATTGTCTATAATACCAAAACCATACATTTTACTTACAAAACTTTCATGTGGAATTTATGTATGTAAAACGTCCGTACAACACAGGATACATTTATCCTACAGTAAAGGCAATGCTTTTAAATTAATGAAAAGAAAAAAGGCAGTTCTAAATGAGATCAAACTGAACTTTCAACGGAAAACGCACCTTAATCGCCAAGTCGTAAGGTACGATTTTGTCACTCTTAGAATGCAGAATCAGCACCGGCACTCGAGTTGCCATCGCCAAGTACTGGTCCGTCGTGAACGCATATTCCGATGAAGACATGAAGGGCTCCAGGAATGTGGCCTTGTAGTACGGCAACCAGGAGACCAGCTATAAGGGAACCAACATATTATACTTCTTCTTCGTGTCACTATTAACAGAGCGTCCGCGGTCATACTAGGCTAATCAAAAGGAAAAATTATAGGATCGATGCTGATAGATTCGCTGTAAGAATATAGAAAAGGAAGGGACGGTGACTGTAAGGAAACGATAGGATTGATTAATTTTACGAGTTAGATCGCATTAAATTTGTTTTGAAATTGCGAGGAAGTTTTGAACACGGCATCGATGGGTCAGAGGTGTTTGACGTTTTTATGTCATAGTTACCCGAGCTGGCAACGGCTAGTTTGATTATTAATTTTGTCAATGTGCGCATATTTAGTTAGTATAGATGGATTGGATTTGGTATAAATTTATTATAGATTATGATATGGTTATGGACAGGACCGCAGGACAGAGTTGGCTGCAAGTTACACGTCAAACCATTAATCCATCATTCAATTTTAATAACAAATCTTTATGAGACCCACCTGACAAATGAGAAGCGAAGATTTCATTGGAAGGCACGTAAAGCTAATATTAAGATTATTATACTGATATTTTTATGTAACTGAATATTTAAAATTAATTTATTGTAATAATTTATTGAAATGACAAATATAATTTGCATTAATTAAAACTAAACGTAAGTCGGTTCACGTGAAAAGCTGGCATGGCGGTAATCAAGCCAAACGGCATGTTGCAACATGTCTTGATATAAGCCTATCCAACCGCGCAAGACTTAACATACCGCGCAACATTTAACATAAATAATCTAATCTAATTGTCGAATAGTACGCACCTTAGAGAACGGATGGTGTACCACCTCATCCACCAGGTTGTTGAAGGGTGCCTCCAGGATGAGGGCGTCGGGTGGCGGTAAACACTCCTTGCCGAGCTTGTCGCATAGCTGGGACATGTAGGCGGTTAGGTGGGCTACCACGGCGGTACCTGGTATAGTAAATGAAGTATACGATGAGTCTCCTGATCTTACAAGACTGTAGGACCGTAAAATTGCACAAGGTACTGGCCATGGCCTCAGAAGACTGTAGTAAAGTGAAAGTAATTATGTACTTCATTGATGATTTCAGCCTTCGAGCGAGGATGTGGTTTAACAGGCTTTGTTAATATCACATGAACCGCTTGATCACTTCCTATATTTTCAAAATGAAAAGTAAACGATGAATGAAAAGAAAACTGGTCATTAGCAAAGGCGATTAACCAAACATAATTTAAGAAACGTCGTTAGGGAAGCCTCAGTTGTACGAGCCCTTACTTCAGCTCTGAGCTATGTCTACTGGCTTAGTTTGGATATGTGGCCACCTCGTTTCTCCGTCTACTTATTCTACGATAAACTTGCCGACCAAAATATGTGCTGGTCTTAGTTTTAGGTCTCGCCACTGCCCAATTTCGAGCGCCCTATTTCTTCGTCCATATTCACCTGCTCCGCCAGACTCAAGGGTTCTGGTTAAAAAGACTTACCTAATGAGTGTCCCCACAGGAGAATCTTTGGCTTCCGTTCACGTGACACGGAGTCCAGGATCCAGGAGTACACGTGGAACGTGTCTTCTACCACGCCCTTCTCGGTCGGTCTAACATGCGTTGAGTCGCCATAGCCTGGATGTTATGAGTGACGTTTATACGTGGATAAAACCAACCCCCTGTCATTTAGATGGGTCAGTAGGTTTTGCAGATTTACGTGATCTTTAAACTGTCCTGGATACCAACTATGCCACTGTAATGTACGGGAGTCATACAGCAGTGGGCTACATGAAGGACGTAAACTGCCTCTGCATAATGCACTGGTATAGTCTAGAAGTATACATACTTTTGTTTCTTAGTCTCGTGTACGAGTTACCCCGTCGAGTTACTCTAAATCCCTACTAGACTGCAGTCCACAGAAGACCATTTAAACATTTATGCTTTTACAATCCACCTGGTGGGAAGGTAACGGAAAAGACACAGATGTTATGAATTCCGATGGGTGGCGGTAACCATTCAACATCAAACGTGCTCCCGACCAGTTGCCACCACCTCCGCAAAAACATTAGCATTAACGCAATGCGAGTTTCAGGGATACATATATTGCTGAAGTTTTCTTTTTCAGCGCAGCCAGTAATCAAAAAATTCGTTCTTCTGGATAAAGCGTCCAAAAACTCTACTGAGGCAATCTGTGAAATTAACATATAAGTTTAATTTTAGGTGCAGACTACTAAAGATAAGAAATAATCTTAAATTGGCCAGGTTATGTTGGAGACATAATACGATCATAGCTAAGATAATCAACACTACACTACTGGCCTTTACTTTCCTACCTGAATTTGCCTTGTTCTTCTCCTCTGAACATTTTCCCTAAACAAAACCTTTCATGCTTATAGCATTCCAGAGTTACGTGTTTAGTTCTCGCTCCTTCTTCTGCCTGGCATTAATCCCGGCTATTGCCAGGGTTTGCCTTAGTACTCGAACGCTTCCACTTTGTCCGATCTTCAGCGTGTTTAGTTATCGCTGTCTAATTCATTCTAACCGTAGGAACTGTTTATATGCATCTGGAAACCTCTCACCCCTGTAATCGAAGGTGATCACGTGGAAATTCAGCACCTGGAACACCTTGTACATGTGCAGCCTATGAGGGGAGGCACGATGGTTTGAATTACCTGCAAGATTGATTTAAATAATGATTGTTTAATAATCCGTTCGTGTAATACTAAGTTTCCTTCGCCGCGTCTTCTCGTGTAATAGGCTTTTGTTTTCGGAACCTGTGCAGTGGTAATGTCTATAGACAATCAATAATTAAGTGTAATGCTTCTAATAAATATATCGAATAAAAGTAAGTATGTGAATTTAAATTTGAAACAAAGAACACTTAAAGTTGGCAGAAAGCAGAGGAAACTATTCTGGACCGACCAGATACACAGTCCAATCTTGTTCAAAATTTAAATATACATAGATTTCGTTAAAAACTAAACTTCTAACACTTTAATAGGTTTGAGGGTAAATTATAAATTTATCGGTTAACAGGTGGTAAACGCACTGGATATATAAGGCTACAAAAAAAAATTGTTCACCGTTAGGTCAGAAAAATTCTGGCAACTGTTGCCCTAAGTCTTGCGTAATAGTTCATATTTAACGCCCGGTTTTTGAAACACTGATCATCGTAGAAGTTAACTAAACAGCTGTCCAATGGCTTTTCAAATTTCATTTGAGTTGCCAAAAGGATGGTTAAACTCTCCGAATTTATCAGAATGATCTTCTTAATGATCGGAATGATCAATTCAAAGAGTTTAACCATACTTTTGGCAACTACAAATGAAATTTGAAAAGCCATTGGACAGCTGTTTAGATAACATCTACGATGATCGGCGTTTCAGAAACCGCGCGTAGGTGTCATACTTCCTTCAACACAGAAAGAGGGAATGTGACGTCACTTACCGTGACAATAAAGCACGACGGTGTTCTGTGTCTTCCGCAGCTCGTTCAGTAGCCTGGCGTTGGAGTCGAGCTGGTCTCGAATGACGAACAACTCCTTGAATAGACAGCAGGGCACGATGTGCCACACGCCTTGTTTCAAACAACACAATTGCTTCTTTAATCTATGGACGTTAGAATTCTCAGCGGTGAAATTTCAAGAACGCGTTGTGTTGGCACATTTAATGTCTTATTTATTTATTTAAAGGACACCAGCAGTACACTTCGTTACACGAGGGAAGAGTGGAGCGAAAGAGAGCGACGTATACAACGGTTATACTATATCTTTTTTACTTTTTACTTTTGCCGATAAAGGGATCGGCGGTAGTAACATGATGACTCCGTGGCGCAGTTGCCAAGTTATTGGCTTCGGCTTCGGGGGTCGTGGGTTCGATTCCCACACGGGACAACGTTATAAAAAACATCGTTATAAAAAAACATGTCGAAATAATAACAAAAAAATATTTCAGATATTTCACATGTCCGCTAATCAACAGTGGGGCCCCCTGATACCCTCTGTACACAGGAGGCATTTGCCCAGCAGTGGGACATGTGAAGGCTGTTACTTTACTTTACTTTCACGGTAGTAAAATATGAACTCAAATATCTCTACTGAGTTGAAGATAAATTCGACCGAACAGAGCTTGAGATTTGGTATTGTAATCACTATATAGTATAAAACAAAGTCGTCCCGCTGTCTGTCTGTCCCTATGTATCCAATATATAGGCAATGTATATATAGGCAATGTTTTGACATACAACATAACTTAAAAATATGTATACAATAGAACTCCCTTACTGAAAATTACAAATTTAATTTCAATAGCAAAGGCGACATCTCCAGTTTTCAGTTGACTTCGTTAGATAAGGCAAAGCATTGCTAAAAATGCAATGAAAACAAAGTGGATGACACGTTGAAACTTTCTACCGCTTTGCTTAGCGGCTAGACCTTCTGGACGCGTAACCCGGAACGCACGTTTGAATCCTGGCAGTCAGTGATGAAAATCTTCTCGACAGTTTTATCTGCATATTTTTAACTTTCGTCTCGAGTTCGGAGACTAGTAATACAATTTTAAAGAGGGCGTGCTAAAATCATTTAAAATTTGCTATGTTATATTTGAACGCTCTTTATGAAATTGAACTATTTTTCACGGTTTACTTGCGGCCGACGAAATTAAGAAGGTAAAGTAAAATATCCTTTTTGGCAGAGACGTAAACGAATAAATTATAATTCAATTAATACGTGATGTAGCAAAATTCATTTCTGGTCATACAAAGATATGTCACATGCGGAAAAATCGATCTCTCAAACAATGCCTTCCAAGTTTATGGGTCATTAACTACAATCAGGTGTTGTCTGGCTAAAATGTCGTGAATATTTACCTAATTTTATGGGACAATTATCCACTTTGGATTCAAATTCCACCGTGAAGTTCCTTGCTCCAACGATGTTGCAGCTCGATGGATTCTTGTAATCTAAATTTCTTGGATAATTAACTGAAAAACGAAAGGAATTACAATTCTTATTTCTTACATTTATACTTTATCGCGTGATTCTATTAATAAACATGTAGAATGTTGCTTTAAAATATAGATAACTTTTCATTATAATTAAAAAATGTCTTTAAGCGCCTGTCTGAAAATAATTGCAACATTTTGTGATTGGATCATCCTGAAAAATTTATTGCTCTTTCTAAAAAAATCTTATACAGGACATACATACTATATTATGTCATATACTGAACTCATACTTCTTTCGAGGCGGTGCAAAAAATTATGACAGTAAAATTTATTTTTATTATATGTTTAAGTTTGGTGGGGCCACGCTAAAGCCTTCCGCTACTGCACGAATGGGCAGGTCCGTCCGGGGGAGTACCACGACCTCACCGAGGACCGGAGTAAAGTGGAAGTGTTACACTTCTGCGTTTCGTCTGGTGAGTGAGGTAGCCGGGGCCCACTTTATTAAAAGGTGGCAACGCATTTGCAACCCTGCGGGTGTTGCAAATGTCCATGGCCGGCAGTTATCTCTTAACATCTGCTTGCCACCTTTCAAAAAAAAATAATTTTGATTACGTATTAAGATATTTATATTTTATCATACACACACTATTGCGAAATATATCAATCTAATATGCATACGATGACGAACGAACGAAGTAATCGTGATGAAACGAAGAACACACTCACTGCAGTTGGAGAAGACGATTTTCCTCTGCAGGGACTTGCTGTACTTAAACACGAGGGGTAGGATCGCAATGTGGAACACCAGAAGACTGGCCGCGAGGGAGGCACCAGCCATCAGTACACCGCTACCAACATTTTTGATACATTGACTTGGAATCTTAATAAAAGACTTAACGACTGGATGGACGTAGGTAAACTTTTGCACGTCGGTAATATAGTATGAACGAATGATCATGGTAAAACTAATTAGCTTAAATTTGTATCAGTTTAATGTATTTTTTTGTAAAATGTATTTTCTTATATAAATAAATATATGAGAAAAGGTACGTTGAAGTTACGGAATATCGTTCGCAACCTTCAATGGGCAGGCGATCGTTGAACGAGGTATTTTTGTAAACAGATGAAGGAAATCGTTATGGGCTAAAAAATTATAATGATAATTCTTATCTGCGTTAGGAAGGGAGGTAGAACTACTAAAAATAAAGAAAGTTGTCAAGAAAAGGTTGCTCACTCGAAGAACAATACTAAGTATATATGTAGGTATACCTTGTCCCATTATAATAAGCTTTTACCTTATTTTTTTCTTCTTATCACATTGCTTATTTGAATATTATCACTGTGAACATCGATATAATATTTCAAATAATATATCATATCAAAAGAATTTCAAAAATATTTCATTATATTTTACCTTTTTATCTTTTCATAAAATAAATTTGAATTTATTATAATTCGGAGTTATACTAGCGAGTTCAAATTAATTTTATGAAAGTTTTTCTTTGTGATGTGGTGGTGCCTATGCTTGCTTGGCTTTACAGTGAGGACCCCAAGCGAATTTTGAAAATGGTCAGTTTTTAAAATTATTGAACCGATCCGCGACCTTAATTCTGCAAAGTATTCTAAAGTCGGGTATTTAAGTTTAAATAAACGCGATAAACACGTTAAGAGTGTCAGCTTTCAGTGCGTAGACTTTTTGAGTTTGATCGAATGCATCGTAAGACACGGCCCTCCGCGCTGGATAGGGCCTTGCATGTTGAGGTCATTTCGGCCCACGGGCCTTCGAGGTTCCGAGGAGCAAGGACCATCACACCGATTACTGTTGAATGTATTGGTTGTTGCTGGGTCCGAAGTGTTGATTGGTAATCTCAGATTATACATACTCTTTTGATATACTCTCTATACTATTTGATTTATGTATTATGTTGGAATTACTTTAAATTTGGAATGTTAATTTTATTTGTTCAGACTGAATTTTGTCATAATTGACTGATTCAGTAAAAATCGTTTGTAGAAGTAACATGTCTAGCTGTCTGACTTAACTTGTATTTTACATAAATTTCATAATGATTAGGTTTCGTCTAAAATAAGTTTCAAAATGTTTAAGTTCAAATAAATAGTTTTCTTATCACTCCTTAAGTGTCTTTTCGGTTTGAAAATTATCCCATCAGCCACATCTACCATTCAAGACGAAGAACCACTCTATAACGCGGGTTTACCCTGTGTACGCATTGTGTTGGTTGTTGGAAAACATCGTGAGGGCGGGCACCTGCATATTTTCTAAATAATGACAAAAATATTTCGAGGATTTACGAAGTCCATGAAATCGCAGTGGGGCCGCGTGGTGGACTATGACATAATTCCCTCTGGACAAAGTAGGTCTTTGCCCAGTAGTGGGAGATATATAGGCTGTTATGAAGTAAAGACTTTACAGTACTATTAAACGGGAACCGTTCACGTGTGTGGAGCTTTCATTCGAGAAAAGAACAACTCACCCTAAAACCATGATTCATGCGTTCACTGTTGACAGATTTAATATTTTGGACGTCTGCTTTGGCTAATATTCCGAATAGTACGTCTCGTTTTTCAAGCTAGAAAAAAATTTTAATCGATAGAGAAATGTTAATAATTAAATATTATATAAGTTATAATCAATGAAAACCACTAGATTATGAGGAAAAAATTAACAAAGTTTTTAAATTTCATACAACTGAAATCCGTCATTAATGTGCGTCCATTATTCATTATAGACTATTATTTTAAGTTAAAAACTTACGTTTTCACTTTTTACGTTGTAAGAAGACACAAATACACGGATATATCACAAAAACACAAGTTTCTACTTCATGAACATGTATTATTAACAATTTCTAATATTTATAATTTGTGACTTAGGGTACACTTAATGTCTCGAATATTAGGTTCAAAATGAGTCACAGATCCGACACAGAGCGATCCGACTCGGATAGGTTAGGTTAGAAGGTTAAGCCGCCTTAGCCTTCGATGTTAAGTTTTTTTTTATGACCAGAAAACCTTAGTGTAACAGTACTTTTAGTATTTTTAAAGACTCTTTTTTAATAATGCGAAGGTTATAATTTGGAAAAGTGAGTGAATTCTTAAATTTATACATGTTGTCAAACACAAAATGGCGGATTTATTTAGTGAAAATAACAAGTTTTAAATATTTTTTTTATTAAAAGTGTTTGCCTTGGTTTTCACGTATGTAATATTTAATTATCAACATTTCTTTATCGATTAAAATTTTTTTCTAGCTTGAAAAACGAGACGTACTGTTCGAAATATTTACCTCTGCTTTTTTTCATTTTATATCAATTTACATTATTAAACGTCCTTTATTTTAAATACATAGGTCAAAATCATGTGTGAGGGACGCTGAAATTTTGACAGACTAATGACAAATAAATACTCTTACTTAATATTGTTATAGTATATAATATAGTATATATGGCTTGGGATTTATCCACACAGTCTATTTATCAACATAACTTTAATTTCATCTGTCTTGAGTTTAATACTTAATTGGATTACCCAATTGTCGTGGAGGATGATGAAAATGTATATTGTGGATTTCATCACTGCTGTAATTTTTTTTTGATGAGAAAACTTCTTCAGGCACGTTGAGAACTTTTTGGGTGAACAAAAATTATTGATTTAGCGTCATCGTAACCGAACGCTTTCCATGAGCAATTACAGTTGCAATGTAATTAAACCAATTGGTGTAATTACATTGCAGCTTTATAGACTATCTCTTTCCGTATCATACGTTCTATATCATCTGTCACGTTCACTTAATATATAATGTCATATATTTAAAGCGGAACAATTGTTAAACGCCGCGCGGTATGGACATGCGTCGTCTTTGTTAAAACATCAGCGGGAAAAAAGTAATAAAATTACATTCAATTACAAAAACCATTTAATTTTCTCAATAATTGCATCACAAATTAAATAAATAAATAAACAACGTTTCTTGGAAAGCGTGAACCCGTCTTGCGCGTGTGTACAAAAGCTCGTTACTTTAGGAGTAACCACCATAACTTGACCCCTTCATTTAAATCACTTCTGGTGTTCCTTGACGAAGTCGCTGAAAACGAGAGAACGAGTATTTTAATGACCACATAGTAATAGCATATTAGATTATTTATTTCATACTAAAACCACCAAGGCTCGGCGGCACAGTTGCTTAACTATTGGGGTCGTGGATTCGGTTCCTACACGGGGCAAGAATTTGTGTGATCCACAAACAATTGTTCTGGATCTGGGTATTCTTTCTCAAGGATGGTTGACGTCAGGCCGGTGAAAAACATAGCAAAAGCCGCTTACAACATGATTCACATTTTGTGCCGACCCCACCTAGGTGGGATAACGGCAGGAGGCTGATGACGACTAAGAGCTGGGCGGGCATTTGGGAGTTAGAATTATTTCGTGATCAATTATCGACATACTTATACATAAGGGAATTATTCAAGTAATCGAACCTAATTAAGGCAAGCATTTTTTTTATGTGCACTAAATGTATATTAGATATAATCCGAAGGCGCGGGCTCTAATCCTGACAGCTGTGAAGAATTTCGGGACAATTTGTCTACACATTTTAAAGTTACAGAGACAATAGTTAAAAATTATTTCAGTGGCAAAGGCGACCTCCCTTGTTTTCAAATATTCATTGTAAAAATGTAAAAAAACATTTTTTTAGTCGAAATAAAGCAAACAGGAGATAGGTATAATGTTATTTTGATTTTTTTTATTAAGTTATTATGTTGATTGACTGTGGCAAGGCCCCGCAGCAGCTTCTGCTGTTGCAAGAATGGGCAGCCTCGTTCGCGTTTCGTCTGCTTAGTGAGGTAACCGGGACTCACATTTTCAAAGGTTATCAACGAATTAAAAAAACGAAAAAAGCAAGCCATCGGGATGCATCATGCAACATCGTTGCGGATGTCCATGGGCGGCAGTATTCAATTAACATCAGGTGAACCGCTTGCTCGCTCGACAACTTTTCGGATAAACAGAAAATTAGTTACTTTTTAGGGTTCCATACCCAAAGGGTAAAAACGAACCCTATTACTAACCTGCGCTGTCTGTCCGTCTGTCACCAAACTGTATCTCATGTACCGTGATAGCTAGACAGTTGAAATTTACACAGATGACGTATTTCTGTTGCCGCTATAACAACAAATACAGAATAAAAAAATATTTCTGTTGGGCTCCCGTACAACAGACATGATATTTTTGCCATTTTTATAGATAACTAGCGACCCGCCCCGGCTTCGCACGGGTACAATGTCATATAAACCTTCCTCTTGAATCACTCTATATATAATAATTTCTTGTATTTACGCGATTACACATTATAAATAGTCTGTCCGTGTCTGTTCCGTGACCATGAACGCTGTAAAGGGTTCGAAACGTCGGGAATTAAAATTAAAAATAAACGCGATAAATCCGTAAAATTAGTTTCATTTATTACTCTATATAGTAAAAAAAAAACGCATCAAGATCCGTTTCGTAGTTTTAAATATCTAAGCCATACATCGGGACAGACAGACAGCGGGACGACTTTGTTTAATACTATGTAGTGATGGTATGGAACACTTCGTGCGCGTGTCCGACTCGCACTTGGCCGTTTTTTTTTAACACTCTTTTGTTCACCCCGGCCGGAACCTCACCCGACGACTTGGGGCAGGTCAGGGGCGCTGCATATCCACTTGTGGCCGAGGTTCTCCTTCTTATCGTACGCGTGGATCTTAACGGGCGCGTCGCGCTCCGACCTGGACTCCAGGACGGATTTGTAGAGCTGCAAAATACAAGGATAAATGTAAAGTAGCAGCCTTTAAATGTCCCACTGGTGGGCGAAGGCCTCCTCTGCACAGAGGGTATCAGGGCCTGGCGACCCGAATGGCGTATTGGGTAGTGTACGGCCCCCTGCGCCAGAGGGTGTGGGTTCGATCCCCACTAATGGAAAAATATTGTGCGATGAACATGGTGTTTTTCTAGTGTCTGGATGTTTATATGTGTATAATATGTATTTATTTACAAAAGTAAAGTATATTTTAGTATGTTTATCAGTTTTCTTGTACCCGTAGTAGAAGCGTTGCTTAGTTTGGAACTAGAGAATGTTGTGTAAATATGTGTCCTAAAAAATAGTCCATCACGCGGCCCCACTGTGGGTTTTTTTTTTATTATTTCGAAAATATGCAGGTTTCCTCACGATGTTTTCCTTCACCGCGTAGCACGTGATAATTCAGCACTTAAAATTAACAATTTCATTGGTGCCAGCGCCGGGGATCGAACTCAGGTTGCCCGAGTAAATTGAATTAAAGGCGAGCGCCCGGACACTGAGCTATCACGGCTCATATCATCAATACAAGTATATGGTTCAGAAATCGGACAAACGAATTAAAATAATGCGCGTGCAGTACCGTATAGGTGCAAATAGCCCCGATAGCTGATAGTGCGGACGCTCGCTTTTAATTTTATATACTCGAGCAACCCAGGTTCGATCCCCGGTGCCAGTAGCAATGAAATTGCATTTATTGTAGAAATAAGCAACATGTATAATTATGTATGTAATTATTATGTATGTGTATATGAAATTTTGTGTGTTCAGATCGATTCGAGAATGGTTTAGATTCACAATTCAGTCCACATTTTTTTTTTTAATTTTTCTATTTACTTTTTGAATACCGCCGCCGCCCATGGACATCCGCTACACCCGAGGGTTACAGATGCGTTGACGACCTTTCGAAAATTGGGCTCCGGCCACCTCGGTCACCAGACAAAGAGCCCTGCCCATTCGTGCAACAGCCGAGGCTGCTGCGTGGCCCTACCACAGTTGAACTACTTGACATCGGTAGTTAGGGTAGTGACCGTACTGTAAGGATGGCGCTCTGTGGGTCCTTTTTAAAAAAAACACTTTTTATTGGCTGTAAGGAACTTTAATTCTGACACACAACTACGTTATAAAAATGATCGTTATCGGACCGAGTATAGAGTTTGACTGCTTGATGTTGACTGCCGTACTTAGGCATCGAAACTGTTTTTATATAATTCTAAATTGCTGACCTACGCAAGTACTCAATATTGTAAATTGTACATAACAGTACGTACCCTGTGGCCGAGCACGTAGGGCACTATGACGTCATCCCGTGCGTGCAGAATCAGCAGCGGCAGCGAGGGCACCCGCGCCAGGTGCCTGTCCGAGCGGAACCTGTGCTCGCACGTGGCCTCGTCCCGGAACGGCGCCACGAAGGTGTGCTCGAAGTACGGCAGCCACTTCACCAGCTGCGGGAACACGTGAAATCGGCAAATAAGTGCATGTACTACGAAACGAAAACACGTGTACATTCGTACAACGCGCACCCACGTGCAGCGTGTACAACAAACGTCCACGAGCACACCCACAATAGACGTCCGGATAGCGGTTGGAAAATACGTGTAATACGAAACGAACATAAGTGTAACATGTACAATGCGATTCCACGTCCAACGTGTACAGTTGACGTCCACACGAACATCCGCAACAGACATCCACGCTTGCGGATAGCGGTTGGGAAACACTTATAATACGAATCGAACTCACGTGTACATTCGTACAATGCGCACCCACGTCCCGCGTGTACAACAGACGTACTATGTACCGTGTCAAATAAGAATGTGCGCGTCAATGACCTCGATCCGTTAACAATCATTAGAGAAATACAGATAGCAAAAATATGATTGATTTTATTAAAAAAGTAAAAAGGGAATAACAAAGCTAAGAAAAAAATTATGACTACTTTAGATTCAGGAACATTGTAGACGTCAACGACATATATAGCACGTACATCATCTACAGTGAAATATCCATGTGTAACTTCTAGGTTCTATGGATACGATATATGGAGGGCTATAGGCTGTAACCGACCGTGGTATGTACCTAACACTCATTTATAAAGATCACCACATAAAACATTCTTGTACAACAAACATCCATACAAAACATACATACATGTACCACAGACATCCAAGTACAACAAACATCTATGTACAACCAACATCTATGTACAACAATGATACAAATACAACAAAAATCAAAGAGCAACAATTATCCAAGTACAATTATTATTATTTCTTCGATGATGTTGAATAAATTACTTTCTTTCTTTCTTTTTTTACAAACCACATCCACGTACAACAGACATCCACGCCTAAAAATCATCCGGGTCCCTTGTATAATCAGCCCCCACACCTTGGTAAGCGGGTGCTCCGCCACCTCGTCCGCTATGTTGTTGAAGGGCGCTTCCAGGATGAGTCCGTTCGGCTGCGGCAGGGGCGCAGAACGTTCTAGAAGATGCACCGAGAGCTCGTTAAGGTTGCCCAGCAGGTGCGACGAGATGCCGGTGCCTGAAAGTGAATGTTTTGTGTGACCAACTGTCTTCTGCTAGCAGCAATTATTATATAGTTTGTTGTACACCGTTTTTATGTACTTTTTATCCCGAACGAAAACGCCACTCTTCAGCTTGTAAGTATGTAAAATTGTACTGTTTACTTTTTTATGTGAGAAGGTGGCAAGCGAGCAGCCGGTTCACCTGATGTTAAGTGATAACCGCCGCCCATGGACATAGGCAACACTCGTTGGGTTGCCGACGCCTTGCCACCTTTTAAAAAAAGTGAGCCCCCGTTACGTCACTCGCCAGACGAAACACAGAAGATAATACTTCCACTTCACATCGGTCTTCTGTGAGTTCGTGGTATCTCGTGGTGGTCGACGGACCTGCCCATTCGTGCAACATTGAAGACTGTTATGTGGCCCTAGCACTGTTATGCGGTCGAGTGTCCCCAAAGAGTGTTTCCAAAGGGTGTCCCCAAAGGGTGTCCCAAAGAGTGTTCCCAAAGGGTGTACCCAAAGAGTGTCCCCAAAGGGTGTACCCAAAGAGTGTCCCCAAAGAGTGTCTCCAAAGGATGTTCCCAAAGGGTGTACCCAAAGAGTGTCCCCAAAGGGTGTACCCAAAGCGTGTCCCCAAAGAGTGTCTCCAAAGGGTGTCCCCAAAGGGTGTACCCAAAGAGTGTCCCCAAAGAGTGTCTCCAAAGGGTGTCCCCAAAGGGTGTACCCAAAGAGTGTCCCCAAAGGGTGTACCCAAAGAGTGTCCCCAAAGGGTGTACCCAAAGAGTGTCCCCAAAGAGTGTTTCCAAAGGGTGTCCCCAAAGAGTGTTCCCAAAGGGTGTACCCAAAGAGTGTCCCCAAAGGGTGTACCCAAAGAGTGTCCCCAAAGGGTGTACCCAAAGAGTGTCCCCAAAGGGTGTACCCAAAGTGTCCCCAAAGGGTGTACCCAAAGCGTGTCCCCAAAGAGTGTCTCCAAAGGGTGTCCCCAAAGGGTGTACCCCAAGAGTGTCCCCAAAGGGTGTACCCAAAGAGTGTCCCCAAAGAGTGTCTCCAAAGGGTGTCCCCAAAGGGTGTACCCAAAGAGTGTCCCCAAAGGGTGTACCCAAAGAGTGTCCCCAAAGGGTGTACCCAAAGCGTGTCCCCAAAGAGTGTCTCCAAAGAGTGTCCCCAAAGGGTGTACCCAAAGAGTGTCCCCAAAGAGTGTCTCCAAAGGGTGTCCCCAAAGGGTGTACCCAAAGATTGTACCCAAAGAGTGTCCCCACACGAAGACCGGTGGTCTCCGCTCGCCCGAAGCCAGCGCGAGTTCCAACCACTCGTAGACCATCAGAGAGTCCTCAACCACACCAGCTTCTGTCGGAGTCAGACTGGTTGAGTCACCGTAACCTGTAAAATAGCCAAAACGACAGAAAATTAAACACCATTAAACCGTGATAGGTTAGTATCTGGGCGCTCGCCTTTAATTCAATATACTCGAGCAACCCCAGGTCGATCCCAGGTACCGGTACCCATGATATTGTCAATTTTAAGTGCTGAATTATCACGTGCTCTTTCATATCTCTAATCAGTGATTGCTCAATAACTGTGACTGGGTGAAAGGGGGAGTGTATCGCCCTCTCGCTCGGGCCACAGTCCAAATTAATTTCTGTCTCGCTCTCGCTCGGTGTACAGTCGCGAACAGAGACTTCATTCATCGTTTTGTGATTAACTTATAAATAACAGGATTACACTCGACGGTACTTGCGTAGAACTAGCGGAGTCGATTTCGTATGGACGGATTACGCTTTTCAAGCGGGATGGAGGAAAATTGACTTTATATCTACGCGATAAGAGTCAAAGTGGTGCGACCAATTCCAGTTTGTATTTTTCAAGATAAATAGAACAAAATGGACTTTATACAAATTAGGAAATTAGCACACTAGCAAGACTTCTTTTGACATTTACTTAAGTAAATCCAGATTCGAAATCCTTATGCTATCTACACTCGGAACTATCGGTTGGAGAGAAATTTAATTACGAAACCATATAAAAATTCATGTTCATTGTTATATATATAATACTCATTGTATTGTGACGTATTTTCTGAGAAGATGAAAACGTATGAAGTTAATTTTGTTTTTCGTTCAACCCTTGAAACGGGCCGAAGTAGAACGAACGATTTAAAGCTTTTTTTCAATTCCTGTTCCTCACCTCTGTAGTCGAAGGCTATCGTGTGGAAGTCCATCTGCTGGAAGAACTTGTACAACCGGATCCTGTGGGATGCCGCGCGCGAGTTAGAATTGCCTGCGAAATTAACAAAGAGCAATGAGTACCTGATCTTCCAAAGTCTGACAAAGTTCCCGTTCTGTTACACGGCGATTATATTTATTTATTAATTACACACACGCACACAACTATCATTACAGGGTGACCGAAAGCGATAGTGTAGCCAAAAATTATTAAATAGTCGATAACGACTCCATGAAACCAATTAAACCTAGTAAGAATATATTAAAAAATCATAGGTACTTGTAATTTTATTTGTAACATATCAAGTAATGGGATACTATGATAAAATCATTTCTGTGGCATGATATGGGTATATAGCGAAAAAAAAATAGGTATATGTGGTAGGGCCACGCAGGTCTTCCCTGTTGCACGAATGGGCAGCTCCGTCTGGGAGTACACGACCTCAGAAGACCGGCGTGAGGTGGAAGTGTTACACTTCAGCGTTTCGTCTGGTGAGTGAGGTAGCCGGGGCCCACTTTATTTAAAGGTGGCAACGCGTCGGCAACCCTACGGGTGTTTCAAATGTCAATGGGCGTCAGTTATGACTTACTTAACATCAGGTGAACCGCCAGCTCGTTTGACACCTTCTCACATAAAAAATAAATAAATCTTAATTAAACTTATGTCGGTGTAGACTGTCCTTACCGTGACAGTACATGATGATGGGAGTCTTAGAGTTGGCCAGCTCGCGATCCATCGAAGCGCTTAGCTGTTCCTTATCGGAACTCTGGTCGAAGCTGCCTTTCATCCTCTCGTACGTGTTCTTCGGTAATATGTGCCATACGCCTGCGGGCCAACGCCGTTAGGGCCATGGTAATTTACGAAAATCAAATAATTACGTAATGTACGAAAATCAAATAATTACGTAATTAACGAAAATCAAATAATTACGTAATTAACGAAAATCAAATAATTACGTAATTTACGAAAATCAAATAATTACGTAATTTACGAAAATACGTAATAAATCAACGTGGCTACAATCGACTATTTTCGTACATGTCAACTTCAGCCCCTTGGTCTATCATGTCCTCGGTTCAGGTTTAGAGTAAAGTGATCGCATTTAAGGCAGTTAATTAGAGTTGTAATTAACTAATTTTAGATGTCAAGTGGAGTAGTTATAAGTTTAAGAGGGAACTTAGAACAGGTGATAACTTAGGCTCGTTAAGTTTACTTTTCAATTACGTATATAAAAAAAAAGTAAAGTAACAGCCAATACATGTCCCACTGCTGGGCAAAGGCCTCCTCTATACATAGGGTATCAGGGCATAGTCCACCACGCGGCCCCACTGCGGGTTGGCGGACTTCACATATTTTCGAAATATATATTTTTTTGTTATTATTTCGAAAATATGCAGGTTTCCTCACGATGTTTTCCTTCACCGCGGAGCACGTGATAAGTCAGCACTTAAAGTTAAAAACTTCATTGGTGCCGGCACCGGGGATCGAACTCAGGTTGCTCGAGTATATTGAATTAAAGGCGAGCGCCCGGACACGTGAGCTATCACGGCTCTATATTTTTTGCTAATTTAGCACGAATGGGCAGACTCCTCCGGGAAAGTACGGCCTCATAGAACTGTATAATACATTCGTTTCGTCTGGTGAGTGAGGTAGCCGGGGCCCACTTTTATAAAGGTTTTCAATGCATTTGCAAGTCCTCGGGTTTTGTAGATGGCCATTGGCGGCGGTAATCACTAACATCCGGTGAACTATCAGCTCTCTTGACAACTTTTTACATAAAAAAGCGGCCAAGTGCGAGTCGGACTCTCGCACGAATGCTCGAAAATCATGACTGTTGTATGGGAACCCCACTTAAATATATTTTTTTTAGTATTTGTTGTTATAGCGGCAACAGAAATAAATCATCCGTGAAAACTGTCTAACTATCACGGTTCATGTGATACAGCCTGGTGACAGACGGATAGATAGACAGACAGACGGCGAAGTCTTAGTAATAGGGTCCCGTTTCACCTTTTGGGTACGGAACCCTGAAGATACGGTTCACCCAATTCTTGACACACCCGCTTGGTGATGTTAAGAACCGTAGTGGCATCGTCTGATACTCACCGCACTTGCCACTTTATCGTAGTGGCATCGTCTGATACTCACCGATCTTCACGGGGCAGTTGTCGACCTTCGAGGTGTACTCTATGCTTATGTTCCTCCCGCCCTCGATGCCGCTCGCTGAGGGATCCTCGTAGTCTATCCCCAGTGGCCATTGTACTGGAATTCGAAGGATATAAAGCTCACATCATGACAGTACCAGGGAGACAGAAGACCGGCGTAGGAAAAGACATTTGCGTTCTAACGGTGAGTGTAAATGTGCTAGGTAAACGGGAGATGAATCTCTAAAAGATTAGACGGTACCACCGTGTTTCTGTGTTTATGGGCGGTAATCACTCGACACCAAGTTAACCGCCATCTCATATCGCACCATCACACGCTAAATAAACGTGTACTATCTTGCTACTGTAGTAGCTGTGTTGTTCGTAGTAGCTGTGTTCGGGCGCTCGCTCATTATACTCGAGCAACCAGAGTTAAAATCCCGGTGCGGCACCAAAGAAATTATTAATTTAAAATCACGTGCTCTACGGTGAAGGAAAACATCGTGAGATCTGCATATTATCAAAAAAATATTTCGAAAATATGTGAAGTCCGCCAATCCGTAATGGGGTCGCGAGGTGGACTACGCCCTAATACCCTCTGTACAGAGGAGGCCTTTGCCCAGCAATGGGATATTTATAGGCTGCTACGTCACTTTCATGTGAAGCCCGCCAATCCGCTGTCGGGTCGCGTGGTGAACAATGCCCCAATACGCACATACTGCACAGAGGAGTGTTCTTCTTGGTTGTGGGACGTTCATGGGCTCTTACTTAGCCGTACTCACCGAAATTAGCGAACACGAGGCCGCGGCGGAATGTCCTCGAGTACTTAAATATTAGAGGCACGACGGCCACTTGGAACACGAATAGGCCCGCTGTGATCGAGGCGCCCAGGAATAGCACCCTGCCAACAGACAAAGGCAATGTCCCTGAATTCGTTGCGATTTCACAGCGCTGGGGCGACAGTATTCGTTGTTGTAGGGTGGGGCAGTTCCGTCCGGGTCCACTACCTCAAAGAAGAACGTCGTCAAGTGGAAGTGTTACACTTCTGCGTTTCGTCCGATGGGTGAGACAGTCGGGGAACAATTTATTAAAAGGTGGCAACGCATCTGCATGCCCTAAGGTGTGGCAAATGTCGATGGGCGACGGTTATCATTTAACAGAAACGCCAGCTCTTTTGCCACCCACTCACAAAAAAAAACGTTATGAAGATCATTTGGACCCATTAGGAACGTAATAAGCTGATTTAAAATATACGTAGCTTTTTTGATTGCCATTTAGATTTATACATAATTTCCGAACGAAATTCCAAAGTTATTGCAGTCTAGATTAAATTTGGAATAATTACCTAAAGAAATCGCATGTCTACATTCTTATTACGATTGTGAATATTATATGTGTGTGTTAGAGAGGGAGAGAGATGAGTAGAGAATATAGAATCTCTACTTAGTAGCCAAGATCGGTAAAAACCTCCAATGGACCATTGGAAGGTGGACGTTTCTAGAACATGGTGTGATCTCAACATGCTCTTGACAGAGTCCAATTCGAAGGAAAGAAACACAAATTATTACTGGTCAATGTACAACGCAATATTTGTTAAGGTATTTGTATTTGTGGTACTATCGTAGCCGTCCCTTCGAGATGATTGAGAAAATCATGATTTTGACTTTATGTCAAAACTTAAAAGTCGTTTTAGGTCGTTTCCACATATTGATTATATGTGGAAACGACCTAAAACGACTACAATTTCGACTCTTATATACTATTTAGACAGATACGTAACGTATACTTCGGTCTCTTTCACTCCCCTCCAATGACAGCGTTCAGAAGTGCACAAATGTTTATTTTACGTTTCCCAAAAATTGATATTTTTCAAACATGTTATAGGGACATGTTTGAAAGATATCAATTTTTGGGTAAAGGTGAGCTGTGTTGTAAGGAAGTTTTAGAAACATAAATTTCACACGAACAAGCGCTGAACAATGTGAATCGAACACACAACGGCCGAAGCCAACTTCACTACTACTACGCTACGAGTCTGAACAACGTTTAGTGAATTGGGACACTTACTGGTATTTTAACGGTGACGTGGCGGAAAAAAATTGACAAAGAATAAAAGAAGTGTAGTTGTCTCAGTTTATGTTGTACATATTTATTATTCAGTTTTTTGTAATGTTTCCTCGGAAAATCACAGACGTTCTTCCAATATAAGTTATAAAATTCTAGGCCAACAGGAAATACTTTTTAGAGCCGCTATCAAAACATCACAATGAAATGCTAATGTAATTTTTTGTGAAGGACATTGAGCCATATCAAATGTATACACATTATTAATACATTACTAAAATACATACCTACATTATTAAAATTTACTTTAAATCTGATCATGAATTAATGAGAATATCATTTACACATTCTAATTTCATTGTCGTTTCTCAAACATTAAATCATTGTTTACATTGAAAAACTCCTATGAGTACAATATCCTAAACAAATATAAAAAGACTTCATTTAATTATTTTCGGATATAAATTAATTCCATAAAATTTCATTTGCATTCCCTACATTGTAGTAATGTAAACAAAAAAAATTAAAATAAATAAATTGACAAGTCATAAAAGACTTTTTATAGACATCACAGCGTAAAAACACTCCTAAAGCACTTGTCACTAATATCCTATACCAATTTGATGTCAAAGAAAATAACTTGTAAAAAATCTTGTGTGTTGTGAATAATTTGCAGTACCCATAAGTAGTGCTCTTACCATCAAAGGCTGCATTGCCACTTACCATCAGGTGGGATGGCATTCAAGTGCTGGCCAGTTCAAAAAAACAAAAGTATTTTTTCCAAGTTTGGATGTAATTTATGTTTGTGAACAGCCCTCAGATTCAGAGTTATTTCTTAGCCGGTTTCACTTTCAAAGTAAAAATTTCCTTATTCAATTTTGGCTTATTTTATGTCTTATTCAATGTCAAAAAACTACCACCAGTTCACTAAACTAGACCCGTCCAGAGAAGAACCGGCAAGAAACTCTGCGGTCGTGATATCTTTTATTTTAAATAGCAGATTTCTTTTACACATAAAAAAAAATTGAATACATACACAAAAGTATTTAAGTATAAAATAATAGCAGCAGCCAGGGGAGTACAAAGCAAGAGTCAGTTCTACACATCCTTAATGTCCTTTATATATTCTTTGACATTACAATAGGTATTTTCCATTATTGTATCTTTTACATAATGTTTGAAATTTTTCCTTTTTTTTTAACTAGAGGAATTAAGAAAGAATAATAATCGAGTCTGTTAATTTGTAACATGTAATCCAATTTCTTGTTGAAACTATATTTTATATCACAGACCGCCTTGTGTTCAAGCTCTGTTCCATTTGACGAGGTTGTAATGCAATATTTGTTAACTCACTAGAAAGCTGTGCACTTTTGCTATGAAGACCAATATTATAACTGGAGTAAATTTTGGATGCTGGATGAATATTTGTAAATAGGTACATTGTCTTGTTAAAACCTTGATAAATTATCCAAGCAAACAAAGTATCTTTCTATGGAGGAGTTAGATGAAGGTTATTTAAACTATTACATAATCCTCCTGTATGTGACCTGATGTTATAAGAATTATGATGATAAACATAAAAAAATATCTTTTGGTTGGTTTCTTTAAATTTAAGTTGAACAAAAATTTTACACTATTTCTATCAATTTCATGACTTACAAATATAATTCATATTGTTTTGTCAGAATAAATATTTTTTTTAAAATATTAATTATTTTTATGTAAGATAAAAAAAAAGATTTTATTAAAAAATTCTTTATATTATTAATGGCGATATGAATTTGGAACTGAAATCTTTACTCCATAAAATTTGCAAGATAATTTTCATACAACCTGTATAATGCGTTTTGCTGTTCATTTTATGCTCCTTAAATTTACCGAAGTAGGACATATCCGAATAATGACATTTTTGAGTCAAAAAAAAATTGTATAACATGAAATACATGAATAAATTTGTGATTTACACAAGAAGCTCATATTTCTTCAAAATTGACAACAAAAAGAAATGACCGTTACAAATTAAAATTATCCAATTTAAAAATATAAAAATGTAAATAAAAACTTACGAAATGGTATAGAGAGGCACACAGATCAAGACTCCTTGAGATTTCGTCATATTAAGAAAATATCACAAATATAAGATTATAAAAAAAAATATAGGTAACTTTTTGTATTTTAAGTTTAAAAATTTGATGGTCAAAGGCACGTCGATAAGGCGATAAGATGTTGAGTGATAGGTAATGTACAGTTATTAGGTGTTCAAACTTGTAAGTTGTATAAACGTTGCGTTAAAACAAAACTATGATTCACACTAACATGAATTAGTTACTATATCCAAAATTCTAATTAACGAAACCAAGGTCCTTTTACGTATTTTTCCACAGACTTTGTTGATTCACCAACTCTAAAACTATGTATGATTAGGCTTACATGAAACTTATACTGATTCTTTTGGAATTAACATTAACAGGACATTCAGACGGTTGATCATTGACATTGACACTGACAGGTGTATGTATTACAGCCTATTTTTTCTAATTAATTCTAGAATTACCAATGAGTCTTTTAGCCAAAAAAAATCCTTATGATATTTTTTATGTAAAGAGTAGACTTTGGCAGCTTCGTTGGGAGTCGCGAACTAAGGAGAATAACGTAGCTGATGAACATAGATGACACAATGACGCTTTACGCTCCGCTTCATCATACTATCATCTCCGCGACCCTTGTTAGCGAAAGCTGGACAATTTGACCCCATCGGACGATTCAAGGGCCTTTCGGATGGTGGTTTGGATCTCGGCTAGAACTGCAATAGAATAATATAAATTATAGAACCTATATCACAGTGTCTTTGCTGCGACAGCGACACTTTGCCAGACAGTGGGCGGTATGAGAGTTAAAGTATTTTACGCGTCCTTTAATCCCTCGTCACGATTGTGTAAAACATCTAAAACTCCTAGATTCGGCTTTGCTTTCGCGCGAAATGTGCTAGCCGAACAATTTGAATGGAATGAGCTCTTTGTTTCGGTGGTAATCTGAAAGACAATTGAATGTGATCGCCTAACTCTTCTCCGAATTGACCTTCTTGTCTTGTATTAACTGATGTTTGTGCTTTCAGTCCAGAGACTATTAAAGCTTCATCTGACGCAGAACCGGTGGGCTAGCCAGAACCCACGAGTTTGGACCCTCCGCTGTGGGTAGGGCCTCGCATGTGCTCATGCGTGCGTTTAACTACGGCATGTCATCTAAGGGCCATCGAAGTAGCGGTGCGGACCGGGACCCCGATGGCCGTCGACTGTGTTTTTAGCTAATCGGTGGCTGGGGGCGGTGAGAACCGCCCTGGAACGCGGGTGTACCTTGTGTACGTCTCGCCGTGCTCGGAGGCGAGGGCGAACTAATGTGTTTGTTGCTACACTAACTGTGTGTGTAGTGTTATCCGGCGGGACCCCCGACGGTGGGTCCGACGTACCTAAGTCCCCTTCCTCGACCGGGTCGATGAGGACGTTTCGCGGGCGACGCTTGTTGACGCTCGCGTTTGGATCGGGTTGGTAATTTGCTGCGCTTACCACCAGAGGGTTGGGATGATGTTCGGCTCTATCGAAGAACCGTTTGGTCAGGTCTTTGAAAAATTCGCGAATCATCGGGAGTCTGCAATCACTGTGCAGGTCGACGTTGCGTTGATACCACTGCGCACCGGTTGCGCGGCGGATGAACTTATTTTGCACTACTTGCAACTTGTGCAAGCGAGTAGGGGTGCGTGTGGGCGAAAATCATGCATGCGTAGGACATGATTGGCCGTACGCAAGCTTTGTATAAAAGTAATTTGTGTCTTAAGGACATTTTACTTGACTGGTTAGTTAAAGTGCTTAGCCGGCCGGAGACGAACGCGGCTCTGTTACGGACGTTATTAATATGCGCTGTGAATGACATACGCGAGTCGAAAGTGACTCCTAAATATTTTACCTTTTTCTCCCAGGGGAGCGGTTGGCCATAAAGAGATATTTGCCCTAGTTTTCTGCATTGGCGACGACCTTTATAAAGATGTGACGGGTAAGTACTTCGTGTGAAGTGAATCGCCACACTCTTTTCGGGATTTACTTCAATTCTCCATTTGCGGAACCAATCGCCGAGGCGGTTGGCGGCGCTTTGGAGTCGAGTGGTTAGTTGACTAAGGTTGCGGTCTGAATAAAAGAGCGCCGTGTCATCCGCGAAAAGCGCGAGATTGACGTGGGGGTCTTTTGGTATATCGCTCGTGTAAAGCGTAAAAAGTAAGGGTGAGAGGCAGGAGCCTTGTGGAACGCCAGCCGTGAGGCGGCGGCTTGTGGAGAGGGCACCTTCAACTCGATATCGAAAGGAACGGTTCGACAAGAAGGCCTGAATGGTGTGTACAAGCCTGTCTGGCACTTTGAGTGAGAACAGCTTGTAAATCAAGCCGTTGTGCCAGACTTTGTCGAATGCCTTTGCGACATCGAAGAAAAGAGCCCCCGTGCTAATATGTTTAGGGTGATTTAGGCCTTTTAGGATATGTTCCGTTAGGCGGTATAATTGATCGGGACAGGAATGTCTTGCTCGAAAGCCGAATTGTTCCGCCGGCAGAAGGCCATTGGAAAACACGTGGTCTTTGAGCCTGTTTAATAGAAGCCGCTCGTAAAGCTTCCCCAGGCAACTGAGGAGGCTGATGGGACGATAACTAGAGGGCTGATTGGCTGGTTTATTCGGCTTGCGAATGCCGATAACCGTGGCTTCTTTCCAGTCGTCCGGAAAGGAACAACTGGAGAGTAAAGTGTTGTAAATGGTCGCCAGTAAACAGATAAGTGGGCCAGGGAGAGCTTTAAGGATTTTATTACTAATATTGTCTGGGCCCGGGGCGGATTTGGGTTTTAAATTTTTGATAATATCGTGGACCTCTTCGGGGGTCACTGAGTTTAATGGATCGCCTTCCGGTGGAAGCGCAGCCCTAGTTTCGATAACGCGGTCCACCTCCGTTAGGTGGGCTGTGTCGATGTGTTCGCGCGATGGCGTACATTGCTGCTCTAGGTTGTCCGCAAGGCATTCGGCTTTTTCGGAGTCATCCAGGGCTAATGAAGTGCTATTAGGCATTGCTAACGGCGGTATGGATTCGCGGGGCTCTGCTTTCAGACTGCGGGCCAACCGCCAGTAGGCGGTGTGCGATGGCTCGATATCCTCTAGTAGAGTGTCCCACTCGGTATGTCGGTGTTCCGATACGCGATCTTTAACTTCTAGCTGAAGGCGTCGAAGTAGGGTTCGGTTCGATTCTGATCGGTATCGGTCGAAAGCTCGTTTGGCTGCATTTTTTTGTCTAATTAGCAGTCTTAGGTCGGGTGGAAAGTTAAACCGTCGGTCGCCCGACAGTTTCACTGTTCGTTCCGAATCTGCAACTGCGGAAGTGATAGATGCGCGAAGACTTGCTATCGTTCGATTTGCGTCATCGAACGTAGCTATCGTCTCGGGTAGGTTGGCGATGTGCTGGGGGTCCAAGGCCTTGAGTTTGACCTCAAGGCGATGCCAGTCCACTACGGTTTTGGTCGGAGGGACCGCGCCGGCGTTCTGGCCCAGTTTACACAGGACCGGCCTGTGGTCTGATTCTAATTCTTGGATTGTCTCTATCGACGCGATGTCGAGGGAGACCTCCTTGAACAACATGATATCAAGAATACTCGGTGTCGAATGCTGGTAATCGTCCACCGTAGGATATCTTGTGGGAGTCACAGGAGCGATTATGCTGTAATTTAAATCGTCAGATAAGTTAAAGAGCTGCCTACCGTTGTTGTTAGCGTAAGTTTGGGGGTCCCATGAGCCGTGTTTGCAGTTTAGATCTCCTGCAATTATCACGGAAGGGCCTAAGTTAAGTAGCGTTTCTAAATCGCTTTGTGGAAGAGTTTTATTCCCCGAGAGGTAGGCTGAAACTAGTACAAGCGGCCTGTGGCCGGTGAGCGCTAACCTACACGCGGATGCCTCTATATGTCTTAGCTCTGGGATATCGAGCGGGCTACAGTGCAAGGACCGTTTATAATATATTAAGGTACCTCCCAGACGGTTTGCTAACCGGTCGTGGCGGACTATATTATAATTTGCGATTTTTGGATCGCGTCTGCTAGGTTTCAAGAAGGTCTCTTGCACTAGAAATATATCGACGTTATAATCGCGAAGAAATTCTGCGATTTCGTCCCTTTGGCCCCTAATGCCGTTTGCGTTAAAATACGAAACAACCAGAGCCCGAGGTTTTAATCTACCTGCGGTTGTACTTTCCATTTTAGTTTTAGTAGCGGTTCTAGGTAACGACGCGGCGAAGCGCGGTTTTATTGCCCGGACTATAAACCTTTATGGTTGATTTGTAAACACCCAAAGGGCGTCTACAAGTTTTTTGTGCTCGTTGAGCGCATTAAGTCGATCGGTGCCACATGTGGCGGCCGATAACTTTGTAGATAGGACGGCGAGCTCTTCCCGGTTTATGCGTTCCAGGAAGCTGCAGATGTTTGCCATTTGGGCAAAAGGGTCGTCTTGGTTCGCGGAAACGACCGGTGTAATAAAATGCACCTGCGGCGGCGTCGGTGCTTGTTGTTTGACAGGCTGCGGTTGGAATGTCGTCGGTCGTGAGGCGACCGGAGGCGCGGCTACCTGCGCGACTGCCTGAGGTTTCGCCCAGGCGTTTACGACGGGTGCGGGCGCGGGAATGTACTTCGCCGGCACGGATTTCGGGGCCGCGATTTTCGCGAGCGTAATTTTTGCGGGTGCTTTCCTCGCGGGGGTTTTTGGAGCTTTAGCGCAGCCCCTGTAGCTAGCCGGGTGGCCGGTAGTCAAACAATTTACGCAGTCCGGTGGATCTGCGCAATCTTTAGGACGCGTGCAATCTGTCGTGCCGTGGTCACCGGTGCATTTGACGCACCTAGGGTGAGCAAAACAGTTGCGGGCTGTGTGTTGGCCATAGTGTTGGCAGTTATGACACTGCGCAACAACGCCTGACTTCCATGGAGGCTCAACGACGAGTTAGCTAAGCCCACAGAGCCTCTTCAAATTAAAAATTGCCTTACCTTCCGGGGTAGGGTCCAACTCCACCATTACAATGTCCATCGGGACACGGGTTCTGGGGTGACGTAGGCGACGAACGGCGTGCACCGGGTATCCCTGAGTGCGGATGTCGATTTTTACATTGTCGACATCCGACTCTTTCGGGATTCCCTTTATGACTACCCGAAGTTTGCGTTCTTCAGGCAGCGAGTAGGTATGGAAACCTACTTTGTTTTCGCGTAAATATTTAGTGACGCGGCGGAAGTCATCGATGCTATCGAGGTATACACGGATACCTTGATGGGTGTTCTTCGACCGGGGGTCTCGAATATTGTGGCGTTCGAACCACACGCAAATTTGATGCCATTTAGCTTTCTCCTGGATGATGATAGGCGGAGGAGGCTTGGCTTTTCTTTTGGCGGCGTATTCGGGTACCGGTTGGACTGCCGCGGCCGCCTTTTTGGCGGGCGTCGCAGTGGATCTATTAATTGAGGTGGCGGCCTCGCTTTCGGGGTCGCTATCTACGGCGGGGCGTTTCTTGCCCTTCTTTTTTCGTCCAGTGACGACGGTGAAGCCGTCGTCATTGGGTTTACCGGCGGGAGTTAAATCTACCTCCATATCCGATCCGCCGTCCGAGTATGAGTCGAGTACGACGGTGCACAAGGAGGCCGGGGTAGCTTGCGAGGAAGGCGCGACGGGCGTGTTCGCAGCGGCGGATGTCGACGCGGCGGGCGCTTCTTGCGTCGCGGAAGGCAACGGGGTTACGAGCGCAGAGGGCGCCGGAGATGGCGGCGATGCGATTGCCGGTGAAGGCGGGCTGTCGTTGGCGTATTCAACGACTAATCGTTGTTCTGATTCGAACGCTAGGTAGCTTTCCCAAATGTCGGGACAGCGTTGTCGGACGAACTCCTCGAAAAGGGAGCCCATCGTAACGTATGTGCCTTTGGGGCTTAGGCCCCGCCGGCGTGTGTAAGCTTAATAAGCCTCCCCACCTTGCGGCAGGGAGGAGTGTGCCTAAAAATAACACTTAATTCGCCTGCGCTTTGGGTGCGCTAGGGTGAGTACCTAGCTGTCGCCCAATGCAACAAGCACACAGATAAAAATTAGGCAATGCCGCCTCTGAGGCGAGAAATGTGTGTAGAATTCTACTTACGGACAGGAACCTGCCTACGAGCACAACACTACACTAACACTAAACTATTGCACTACTTGTACAAATATTTAAATTGCAACCAAAGTTGCGAGTAGCGTCTAATTCGGGTGGCATGTGCCCTCCGTCTTAGAGAGACGTCCGTTCCGTACGAGAGCACGAAGCGGAATGCGAATTGACCTTGATCCGTCACTCTCCTCGACCAATCGCCTAGGGTTCAGATTGTAGGGCTGTGTTGCAAGCGCATAGTGTCATTTTAAGTGTTAGTCTCAAGGTAAAACTTGAAATTTTATTTTTTGCAGATAATTTTGCATATAAATTTTCAGCGCAGTGAGATCGAACTTACGTCTTCCAGGTCACATCCAGACGTTTTCTTAAGTAAGCTAAACGGCTGATGACCTGAGACTGTGCCAAAATCTTGACACCTATCCACTTTCTTTATTGCATTTTTGGTAATGCTTGGCGCCGCTAACTTTAAAAATTACATAATGAGAGATGACGCCTTTGTTCTTAAAATTAATGATTTTTTTTAATGCCAATTACATATCGATACCTTAATTGGCAAACCAGCTAACTCCACCTTTGGTGAAAAATATTTTTTGGCTTTGTTTGTACGCAATAATAATTCCGCTTGATTTGCAAAAACAATAACTCCGATATAATCACCATTTCTTTCTATAAATCGCTATTCGCAAATCAGCCAACCCTCCGCATGTCACGGAACGTTATAATTTTAACAGCCAACTCCACCAAGTCGGCTATTTCGTATGGCGTCCGAGTCATGTACGGTTACCGCCCTACGTTATTTGGAAAAAAATATATATAAACGCAACAAAAGGAAAGGTAGTGTTGAAAAACAATTGAACATTAATACACAGTATGGATACTTATTTTATTTCTTACAAAACATTGCTACGTAATTGAGCAATTCTAAAATTTAATATTGCCTTTGAGTTGGCCGGCTTGTTTCTTACTTTATTATGCTACGGTTGGAAGTTATACATTTTAAAGTTTATTAAAAATTTTAATTAAATTTGATGATACCAATAAACCTGACTCTTTTCTGGTTCTTAATAACCAATTTCAAAACCCTACGACGCTTTGGTTGGGCATGATAGCGTAGCTTCTAATTCATCGAATTTATTTGTGCGATGTCGATGGATGCAGGTGGCTCAGGATCTTACTTCGTGGCAGTCTATGAGGGAGGCCTGTGTTCAGCAGTGGACTCAAGCAGGCTGAAATGATGATGATGATGATTTGATAACAACATTTATTGTATTGGAAATGAATTATCTGCCATAAAGTATACGCAAACATATGAAATTGTTGTTAATGAAGACATATTTCCATTTGATAAAGAACAATTCAGTCCAAGTTTGATATCTGTTCACCTTACACCATCACTTAAATACAATCTTGAAAATGCCTCTAAGTTTTAAGCCAGCTCACCTCTCTACAAGTAATGATAAATCGGATAACGATTAGGCCGTTCCTTTGATCCAGAAACTACTAAAAAATCATGAAACCAGACTACTGTAAGTAAAAGAGAAATAGTGTTATCCAATGTCATAATATTTCTCTGAAGATGACGGAAAAATATTATTTGATAAATTTTTAAATATGACGGGATAAAAAACGAATTTAAGTTGATAGTTTAATAAAAAAATAATATACAATTAGGCAAAGAGATAGGAAAGACCCTTAAAAATGTAAAAAAGTTAACGCTTTTATATACCACCCTTCAAAACGTGTGTATGAAAACTAGAGATGGGTGTTCCTTTCTATGGAATGAAGGCAACTGCTGAGTTCTGATTAGTTTGCAACAATTTTCACCAATTTTCTTAATTGATAAAGTAATTCTAACAATAGAATTACTATTCATAAGAAGGTGACAACAGATATTAAAAAATTGAATTAAATTTGATGATACCAATAAACCTGACTCTTTTCTGGTTGTTAATAACCAATTTTTAAAACCCTACGATGCTTTGGTTGTACACTTGCAAAGAAAAAGAAAGTTTTTATTTAAAATAAATCTATCAAAAAGACCAGCGAACTCCCAGATCACGCACTTTTGCACGAAAAACAAACGGATAACTCCTAAAAAACGCTGTAGTATGGTAATGAAAATGTATAATCGATTTTATAATATCAAAAATGACAATTTACGATAATATCTACCAACTTTATTTTAGATTTTCTCATAAGTAGTCTAAAAAAATTATTATACAGTTTTAAGTGTCTCCTGTAAAACTTGCCCATATGGAGTTGGCTTGTTTGCTAATTAAGGTATCGATATGCATATATTATTCTATTTAAACTTTTTTAGGTTAAGCTTGTGAGTTAACGTCGTTTGTGTTTATTTAACGGTATATAATGAACATACTTCTAACGTTACTTGCCAATTTCAGTAATTTAAAAAAAATCTGAATTTTTAAATCAACTAATTAAATAAAAAAGAAACAAAATTTGTAACATCCCAATGATATTATATACAAAGATATGACACTTGCTCACCGAAATTGAAGCGCTCAAATTACACAAGTGCAATTCTAGTCTGTTATATCTTTCCGTATTATACGTTCTATATCATCTCTCCCATTCACTTATATAATTATGTCATATTATGACGTAAGGCGGATGAATTTTTATTCATTCATTAAAATTATTCATTCTAAAAAATCATGTCTTCTGTGACCTGTACCAATGATTTTTATGTTACAGTTTTGTACATACGAGCATTCAAAAAATTATTTTGGAAAATTATATAACTCAGTAAATACATATGTTTAAGGGAAATAAATGTTTAATACAATTTTAAAAAGTTATCCTCTATTTGTGTATTTATTTAAGGTCGCGGTAGTAGCGCTACGTTGTATTCTTAACAATTACAAATTCGTGTAATATTTATTATTCATGATGCAAATGGAGAATTTAATGAAACATAAAATAGTGCAGTGCTAATTGTTTATTATGTGCAATTACAGTTTTCATGTTCACATAACAGTATATTTTTCATAGCGTTTGTTTGGTTTTCATTTCGGTTGTATCGTAGTCCATAAAATCGACAGATTCAATGTCTGTTAGCTTTTCTTACCGTCCTGTAAAATAATTTAAAAAATGTAGTGTGATACAGGTACATCATATTAGACTGTGAAGATGACTTGTTTTTTTATGTGTGAAAAGTTGCCAAGCGAGCAGACTGTTCACCTGATGTTAAGTGAATACCGCCGCCCATAGACATCTGTTAAGCCCGAGGATAGCAAATGCGTGACAACCTTTAGAAAATTGGGCCTTTAGATTGGACTGGAATAGATTGTAGTATTCTAATATTTTACTCAATTCCTTGATATCTCTAATACGTAATGCCATTGAAAAATTTTGAATAGTTGCATTTGGTAAATATAACTTAAGTGTGGTAGGACCATGAAACTACCCTGTTTCACGAATGGGCAGGTCCGTCCGGGGAAGTACCGCGACCTCACAGAAGAACGGCGTGAAGTGGAAGTTTTATATGTCTGCGTTTCGTCTGTTGAGGTAGCCAGGGCCCACTTTATACGGCATTTGTATCCTTACGGGCGGCGGCTATCATTTAATATTAGGTGAAACGTCAGCTCGCTTGCCACCCTCTCGCTAAAACTACTCCAATTGGTGTAATTAGATTGCAATTCTAGATAATGCTATCTCATTCCAAATCATATGTTCTGTATCATCGGTCACATTCACTTATATGATTATGTCGTACAATGTAAAGCGGAACAATTATTAAACGTAGTATGGACATGCCTCATCTATATTCCTTGTTGTAAATATGTCAATCAAACATCTTATAAATATCACCATGTTCTAAAATTACAAGAGAAGACGGTCAACCAACAATTGTACGAAACAGAATATTTGTGTTATCTGTAATAATAAATAAATTACCTACCTTAATTTAGGTGAGAAACGTCGTCTTCTTGCGTAATCACTTTCGATAGATTGCAACTCGGGTGGGATTACCTGTAAAGGCGTTTTAGACAGATTTCGATAACAACTCATAAAGTGCTTGATTAAAAAACAAAAAGGTTTAATATTGACAAAGTTACATTTTTTTTTTATTTTTTTTTATTTTTTTTTTATGTGAAAAGTTGCTCAACGAGCAGACGGTTCACCTGATGGTAAGTGAATACCGCCGCCCATGGATATCTGCTACACCCGAGGGTTCCAGATGTGTTGACAACCTTTTGAAAATTGGGCTCCGGCAACCTCACTCACCAGACGAAACGCGAAAGTATTTGTCATACTTCTACTTTACGCTGGTCTTCTGTGAGGTCGTGGTACTTACCCGGACAGGCCTGCCCATTCGTACAACAGCCGAGGCTGCTGCGTGGCCCTACCACCGTAAAAACATCAGTACATGCTCCTCAATATATCTTTAGATCTAATGCCTAACAAATTGATATGCGATTAAACGGGAACTAAATCGAACCCAATGTAAAAATAATTTTTAAAATCGACTTATAAATTTCGGAGTTCTGATGTAGAAGCCATGAAAAAGCAAATTGAGAACATCCTCCTGTTTTTGAAGTTGGTTGAAAATAATTTATGGATGAATAATTTGATGCCTTTGTTTTATCGTTACCTATAGGTATATCATAATTTCATTCTATACACAATGTTACCTCATATATAGTTCTTAACAGGTCTTCTTTAGGAGGTCCATATTCTTTGAAACCAGGGGGGCCATATTCCAAAAAGCCTTCAGGAGCTTGTTCAAGGGATCTGTAAAATTTTGTGCGTAAATAAGATATTTTAAGTTTTTTGGTTGGATAAAAATAAACAAATTACTATTATTATATTATTATATTATTATATTGAGTATTACTCACCCCGAAGTTTCTTGGATAGCTTTAGTTTCTGATATTTGCTGCAAATTTTCAGCCTGCGTATTAAGAAACATTTTAACATTAAGATATTTTAAATTTAATAAGTTAAGAGTGTAATAATTTACTTTAATTTGCTTACCTGCTGCTCCTTGACTTCATTATCTATGTTAGTTAATAGCTCAGGAATGTTCTGAACGAGATGTTCCACATTTTTTACTTCAGTTTCGAAATTCTGTACCTGTGTTTCTACTTTTTGTATTTCAGTTTCTACGCGTTTCACTTCGGTGTCCACTTGCTGGATTTCCTCTTTCACAGTCTGTATTTCTTGCACTTGTAATCTTTCTTCAATCGTAGATACAATGTCACTGTTTGCATTGTCATTTTCTTGCTGAAGCGATTTTACTGTTTGTCCTCGGTCCTTGTTTTCTGTTATTTTTTGTTCTGTTTCAACATCTGCGGTCTCCAGTTGTACGGGTTGGCTTTTAGTTTGTGCAATTATTGTGGTGGTTTCATCGATGAATTGAGTTGTCGCTTCAAAGTCCAGTTGAGTGTCAATATTTTCAACATTCTCTTCGGTTTCGGCTAATGTTGTTATTTGTGCAACAATTGGTAATGCTTCAGTTACTGGAGCTATTTCTTGTACTAACGACTGTTCATTCGATTTACCTGAAACATCTATTATAGTTAATTTACAATTATAAATAGTAAATACACTGTCGAGAAACATTATCAATGCCTCTGGAAATTCTACCATACATGTGATATTATTTAAGTCACTGTAATAGTATTTATCTTTAAAGAATATCTGTAATTTTATCATTTCGCAAAGCAAACATTTTTTATATAGTTAATTTTTTAGATTTAGGCTTCTCCAAAAACCGGTGACTTTAAAATATGATTTACCTTCCGAATCTTCGGCAAATACTTGGTTTTCTGTTAAAGCTATTTTTTCTTCATCGACTTGTTTAGCTTTCACGTCAATAACGGCGAAGGTCTGCTCTGTGATTGCATCGGGCAAGCCCTGTTTCGATAATTCCAGCGATATTTCTTCAACCTTGGGTGGACCATATTCTTGGAAAGAATTCGAACCTGAGGCTTCCGACTCTTGTATTACATTCTCTTGGATTAATTTTTCTTTGGGCTTCTATTGAAAAAAAAAAAAAAAACAACAGCTATTTTATATGCGGTATTTAATTAACCACAGTTGCAACTTTGGTAAGCTTACAGAAAAAGAGTTAGGTACTATCATTAGGTGAAGCATATCTCTCTTTTTGTTTTTTTTTTATATTGTTTAGACATAAAGTCATTTTTATGGTGATATATTGTTTGAAAAATGTTTGCTGGTGACTATCAATCCTATAAATCTTTGTAATTTTGATTTCATTACATACTCCAAAGGTATTAACTTTTAAAACGAATGGACTGAAACATTTCTTTTCCGTTAAGCTATAAATATGATTATGTAAATTATATAAATGCTGACAGAAGTACCTGAACTTCCGATGGTAGATAGAAGGCGGGGCCATCTGGCTTCCAACCGCTTGGTAGGTAAGGACCAGACCCCCGGGCAGCCACGGATGCCACGATAATAGCGAGAATGGCAAACACCTGAAAATGTGGAATATAGTTATAAAAGTTCCTAGATAATTATTAGCTTTGAAAAGTTTAGAATGTAGAAATGTACAAATGCCTAGTACACAGACATAGATGAGAGACGTTGATTTATTTAAATACAGATTTCAAATAACAAAATTTTACACAAATTCTAAATCTATGAATCGTAATCCATGAACTGATCGGTCGTACCCTCATGATGATGATATGTGAGATCTTACTTGATGACACTGATGCCAAAGCCGATCTCCTCTAAGTATTTATACCGTACCGTACAATATGTGCTTTACGTTGTACAAAAAAATTAAACAAACGAAAGATCGCAGATGGGCAAATGTTTGCAAATTGAACTCTGATTAGTCTCTAATCGATTGTGCAATTCCAATTAGCGATTGTGTTCGAGACGGGGTAAGTAAGCGTCTTGGCTCTGAGGACTTTTTGTTAATTGGGCTAATAAGGTTTTTTTTATGTGAAAAGTTGCCAAGCTTTTGGTAAATAAATGGATTTTCTTTCTTTCTTTCCAAGCGAGCTGCCGGTTCACCTGATGTTAAGTGAATACCTCAGCCTATAGACGTCTGCTACACCCGAGGGTTCCAGATGCGTTGACAACCTTTTGAAAATTGGGCTCCGGCCACCTCACTCACCAGACGAAACGCGAAAGTATTATATTCGTGGTACTTAACCGGACGAGCCTGCCCATTCGTGGAACAGCCGAGGCTGCTTGTGGCCCTACCACTGAGAAATAGGTACGGTTCCGAGTCTCGGTTACTACTATCGCAAGATGAAACACAGAAGTATGATGTTTCTAATTTACACCGGACTGCGAGTCTACCGTGGTAGTTTCCTATCGATAAGCCTGCCCATTCGTGTAACTGCAGAACTGCTGTGTGGCCTTAACACGGTGGAATGTTATTTGCCCATGCTTGGTATTGGTTTCTCTGCATTCTCAGTGATCCATCACTTTTCGTTGCTCTTATTTTGGCTTATAAATATAAGTATTTGCTACTTATATACAAATCACCGATTACAATTTCTTTGTTCAAATGTTTTTATTAAAGGAGTGCATAAATGTCGCGGAACTGGTTATTTGTAAGTGTAGAATGTAGTAAATAATTATATTCGTTTGACTAAATATAAGGCTTCTTTTGTACCTAGCTTTAGCTTGATTCTGACGTTATGTAGCGATTCAGTCTTAAGCTTATTTATTAGTTTTACTGAGTTTTAATTATGCCAGTGTATTATGCCAGTGCTTTAAAGAAATGTAATCTCACGGGAAAATTAAAGCCGGCAAATAGTAGGAAAGCGAGAAAATTTAGCACTGTTTTAGTCAAAACGTGAGCCGTGATAGCTCAATGTCCGGGCGCTCGCGTTTAATTCATTATACTCGAGCAACCAGAGTACAAATTCCTATGTACAATGGAAATGTTAGTTTTATGTGCTGGCATATCACGCACCCTTCGGCGAGGGAATACATTCGAAAAAATAAAAAAAATATTTCGAAGATATGTGAAATCCGCTATTGGGACGTCTTACTAAACCCTGATACCCTCTGTACAGAGAAGGCCTTTGCCCAGCTGTGGGACATGTACGAGGGGTGATCCAAAAGTAATGATAATCGGTTACTTCAGGTCCGCATAAAACTCCAAAAAAAATTTTTTTTGCTTGCTTATATACTTACTAAGTCAGCCTAAAAAAAATCATATAAATAGATCACGATTTCCGGGAGATACATTCATTTGAATACGAACTGTCAAAGAGATAACATCAACATGGAGAAAAACGAAATTAGAGCTGTCATCAAGTACCTCTGTTTGAAAAAAATGCCTTTAAAAGACATACACAGTGACTTAGTGGAAACATTGGGAGACTCTGCTCCTCCATATTCTACAGTTGCACGCTGGGCCAAGGAGTTTAAACTGGGCAGAACATCCACTGAAGACGAACATCGCGAAGGACACCCATCCACGTCCCTCACTGAAGACAACGTGAAAAAAGTCGAAGATGTTGTGTTGGCAGATCGAAGAGTGACCATCAGGCATGTAGCCGAGGTCACAGGGATCTCATATGGCAGCGTTCAAAGAATCCTTGCGAACGAGTTGCATATGAAAAAGGTCTCGGCGCGTTGGGTACCCAGAATGTTAACCGACGAGCAAAAGAAAAATCGAGTTGACATTTCGAGGGTCAATCTCGAAAAGTTCCAAGTAGATCAAGAGATTTTTTGTTCCGTTTTGTGACTATGGACGAGACCTGGATCCACCATTTTGATCCTGAAACGAAACAACAATCGATGACTTGGAAGCGAGCCTCCTCACCGACGCCAAAGAAATTCAAAGTTTCAAGTTCGGCGGGAAAGGTTATGGCATCTGTTTTTTGGGACGCTCAAGGCATAATTATGGTGGAATATTTGGAAAAGGGAGCCACTATTACGGGCTCTTACTACGCAGACCAAATAAGAAGATTACGGGAGGCCATTAAGGAAAAAAGACGCGGCAAACTGCGAGCTGGTGTGCTGTTTCACCAAGACAACGCACCGGCTCACAAAGCCGCAGTTGCGATGGCTGCCATTCAAGAAACGGGATTCGAACTGCTCGAACACCCTCCCTATTCGCCAGATCTAGCTCCTAGTGACTTCTACCTCTTTCCTCGGCTCAAGGAACGCCTCCGAGGCAAGAAATTCGAAGACGATAGCGAAGTAATGGCCGCTGTTGAAGCGTTTTGGGAGGGTCAAAACAAAGAATTTTTTTCAAAGGGAATCCTGGGTTTAGAAAAAAGATGAACTAAAGGTATTGATTTGTTAGGAGACTATGTAGAAAAATAAATTATTATTTTAACTTTAATTACCGTGTTTTATTTTCATTATCATTACTTTTGGATCACCCCTCGTACTTGCATAGTTTTAGACTTTCCTGAGATTTATGTATGAGATGATGATTGGGTGGAATGAATATTTGGAAACGGCTTTGTGAATATTTGGTACTTGGAAAAATGAACACGGTACAACCGAGCCGGCAGGTAACATTTACCAACAAAAATCCACAGGGCGATTTAATTAGATAGAACATTTTAATTTAACTCAATCAAATAGTTTTATTTGATAAACACACATAACTCACGTTTGCACTATTCACCTAATTTCAAATATTGGCTCATTTAACGCTTTCCGCCATTAGAGTTTGTTGTTTTTTTTCTCGCTAAATAACCTTCGAATTGTTAACAAGGCTAGGGCTGCCCATTGTTCATTTTACAAAATTATTTACTTCTCTATTAATGTTTTTGAAGATATACTTCTTTTGTCTCGATTGGAGAAAACAAAAAAAAAACACCGACAGCCAAAGAGCGGCAACCAGTTATCCATGGCAACTAATAACAACTATTTGACATTTTATAGTTATCTAATTAAACCGTTAACTATCAGATGAATTTAATACATTTTTATAATTTAAATAATATATGTTTTTTTCTTTTTGTTACGGTAAAGAAGTATAACTTTTTACGTGCGTCCATAAGTGCATACTTTTTGTATAACTATATATGAAACGGTAAAACGTGTTTATCCGTGCGGTTTGTTTGTTTTCTCACATGTTTGACATTCTTTCAAGAAAGCAATGGTCTGGTCATTGCTTTCTTTATTTTTTATTTTTTGTCGATCCAGATGATTTCGTTATTTTTTCCCTTTTTTTTAAAAGTTCTTTCTTTTGTGAAAAAACACCAGATATACAAAAAAAAAAAAAAACGAGCAAAGCTCGGTCCTCCGGGTACTGCTATTAGTAGGAGACCACATGGTAGCTAACCGAATTCAAAAATAACTTAGTCAGTTTATGTATATTGATTTTTACTGAGTCCCGTCTATTTCGCGGACTTATGCTGCTACACAGACTCACTGTATTTTTGTTATGTTTTCATTTATTTTAATGTGTGCAACATTATGTTATAGTCTGTGTAATTCCATTATCTTTTAAGTGCGTTTAGTATCTATTGCGGTTAGATCGTGAATAAACACGTTTCTTTCCTACAAAATCGGTTCATAAATTATTAGGCAACAAAAGTATACAAGATTTATTTAAGAGTTAAATAAATAAATAAAATCCTGATATGGCATCACATTCCGTTTAGTGATTCATGTTATTTCTTTTATACGTCTTTTAATATATTAAATATAATGAAGCAATTTAAATCAGCGATATTTTGGTAGCACGTATGTTGAGGACTAGGTTTTATTGCTTGGGGGTAAACAAACATGTGTTGTAAAATTTTACGATTTTTCGTGCAAAAATATTAAACTTTGTATTGTAAAAAAATATAAAATTGTTCTTATAAAAATATTTAATGTTTATTACGCGACACAATGCTATAAAAATAGTAAGATCATAAAACTGTTTCATACAAAATATAATAGTACATTTAATGAGATTTTTAATCTCATGATCTTTGTAGTAAAGTCTTTGTAGTCCAGCTTATAATAGGGCATAGCTTACCATGTGACCTTACTGCGGATTGGTGGACTTCACATATCTACGAAATATTTTTTTTCTAAATATTTTGAAAATATGCAGGTTTCGTCTCGATTTTTTTCCTTTACCGCCGAACACATGATAATTCATCACTTCAGCAATTTAATTGGTGCCGGTGCCGAGGATCGAACTTAGGTTGTTCGAGTAGATTGAATTAAAAGCAAGCCTCCGGACAATTACCTATCACGGCTCTTCTTTGTATACCCCGTTAATGTAAACGGTGTACAGTTTGTATTCGGATTTTTATAAACATATTTTCATGTGTATTTGGCAACCCTAAATCGTCCGTCACAAGAGATCAATTACTTACGAAGAAACCAATATCGATTAATCGAAATCGCACTCCATAACATTTTTTTATGTGAGAAAATGGTAAACCGGCTGGCTGTTCACGTGATGTTAAGTGATAACCGCCGCCCATGGACATCTGCAACACCCGTAAGGTTGCAAATGCGTAGCCACCTTTAAATAAAGTGGGCCCCGGCTACCTCACTCACCAGACGAAACGGAGAAGTTTGACACTTTCACTTCACGCCGGTCTTCTGTGAGGGCATGGTACTTACCCGGACGGACCTGCCCATTCGTGCAACAGCGAACACTGTTGCTGGCCCGGTCACAGTTAATTTTGAATGCGATTATCTTCTCGATGTTCGTCGTTTGTCGTAAAGAGTTCGTATTCGTAAAATTTGGCTTTTGGCTGAAACGATAAATATGTGTTTTTCGTTTTAGTTGTAGATCTACTCATTCTAGAGTATGTTTCATTGTCTTACAATGTCATACACACATTTTTACCTAGGGTGGTCACCATTGATGCTCAAGATAAGAATGTTACCTTGTATTTTTGCAAAAGTAGGGTCATTCCATCATCATCATTTTAGCCTGTTTTAGTCCACTGCTGGACACAGGCCTCCCACACATACTGCCACGAAGCACGACCCTGAGCCACCTGCATCCATCGACTTTCCGAACTTTTGAACAGGCCGTCACTCAATTTAGTATTTTAGGGAGATCCCACGTTACGTTACAATCGTTAACTAGGATCGTTTTAAATATTATTATATATTGGCTATTTAATGGATTTGATCGCTTTTTTTATTATTATAGTTGTAATTCCCGACGTTCCGGCTAATTTTACATTGAGTCTGAAGTGTTTGCGTCTTAAAATTGTTAATCTAGGTTACCGTATTTTTTTTTTCAATAATCGGTATAGAGAAATATAACAACGTAATAAATGAAATTACATTTGTTACGTTGTTAATATTTCAATTGCACTTTTAACTTGTCAATTCTCTCCTTTAACGACGGTCTTCATTGACATTCGTTTGCCTCAATTCCATTTATTTAAAAAAAAACGTTAAATATATAAATAATGCATTTCAGTTCCCTCAGGTATGGACCTGACATACATTAATGATGCTTATCCTGTGGTTAGTATATCACAACAAATAAAGAATGTTACAGTTTATACAACTACTCCCACTTGCATGTTAGGCCAGGTCTAACGGGAAGACCATAGAAGCAAAAAATCCTCACTGAAGGCCACCTTGAGGTAAGAGTATTTATAATTTAGGTGTTGATAGTCTATGGGCGGCGATTCTCGCTAACTATGAGTAAAACCATTTGCTGGGATGGCATCTTTACAAAATATGAAAAAAAAAAAAAACATTAAATGTTGTAGAAAAATGGACGAAAAGTTTTTCACCGCAGCGGGAATCGAACCCACGCCTTCCGGAATATAGCCCAGACGATTTAACCACTAAGCTGTTAAATGTGTAATCATATAAAAACTCAAAATAAAATGATACACGAGAGTAAGAAGTTAGTCATTACATGTAAATTTGTTTTAGCTCTGCTAAAGACAAATTACTATAGCAACCTGGATATTATCAAGAGATTATGATGCAAGTATTGCCTTTCTTCTGTTGTACCGTTCCTTCCTTTTGTTCCGGATCTGGGTGTTTCTTTCCCAAAGAGGGTTAACGTCAGGTAGGCGGCTGGTTGTAAAAACGAGCCAAAAAACGCTTAAATAAATAAATAATATAAATAAAAATATCTTTATTCACATAGACGCTTGCGCGTTCTTATGAAACGTCAAAATACGCTTACAACATGATTCGCATTTTGTGCCGACCCCACCTAGGTGGGATGATGGCAGGAGGATGATGGTGATGGTAATTTTCATTTCTTTTTTTAAAAACATCACCTCGGTCAATGGAACTTTACGCGCACTATCTAAATTGAAAGATTTTTTTTCCGAAGTATACAAAGTTTTATTGAGACCTAAGATTGACTATAACTCCCGCAGGAGTAAACGTTGTAAAACAGTGTTAATATAAAAACAACAGAGACATCATACAAATAAGCGTTGTTTATTGGACATGATTTGTTGGCTTTTACATATTAAAATAACAATTCAAATATTTTTGCTGCTGGTGCGTCTGTTAACTGATGGCAAAAAAACTGGAGATAATCTGTTGCACAGATTAAAAAATATATTAATTAATAACCGTTAGACCGGGCGCGGTGGTTACCGCGGCCGAAGCCGTTGTCATGGTTGCCGCGGGTGATGCCATTGTCATGGTTACTCCGCGCGAAGTTGTTGTCATGGTTACCGCCGGCGGAGCGCAGATTGCTGGCATTAGAATCGTACCCGCTGCGGCCGAGATCCTCATTGTCTTGGTAGGAGACGCGAGGCTTGAAACCGCGGCCATCCGCTTCGTAGCTGACAGTCTGAAAATGGATTTAGATTTTCGCGAGTTAGTGACACACATATTTAAGCAAAAACATTTATGTCGGCTTGTGTACCCACATTTAAGTCTTCGAAAAAATAATATTGTGTCGTAATGGCATTGACGTGTTAGATTATGGCGCGAATTTTCAACCGTCTTCAAAAACGAGGAAGTTCTCAATTGGGTTGTATTTTTTAAAATATTTATTTTTGTTTTTATTTTTGTGTTTGTCGCCTCTGAACTCCTTTATTTATGAACGTACCTACCCATTTTAAAAATGATTATTGTGCTGCGTTCGGTTTAGCTCCTATGCGGTAATTTTAATCAATATTGTACTTTGGCCTAACAAATTGGCCTGAATAAATTAGGAAACGCCTCAAAATTGAGAATAAAATGAGAAAATTACAAAAGTAAGCGAGATGTTTGAAGTTGCTATTGCCAGTAGTTAATATAAATGTTATTCTATCCTTTCCCTTTTAATGTTGTTATGTGTTTGGAATGAAATTAACGCCTATACGAGTACACCTTACACACTTATATTTCTCACCTACACACTTATATTTCTGTAGACATATTTACACAATATTATCTAATTCTGAACTAAGCAAAGCTTATACTATGTGTGTTGGGTAACTGATAAACATACTTTTATTTTGTAAATAATATATATATATATATATATATAAACACCAGAAACTACATATTCATCGTAACAAAGGGCATCTGGCAAACATCATATGCATCACGCAACATTTTTCCAGTATTCAGGATCGAACCGTCACCCTCTGGCTTAAGAGACGGGTTATCTATCCAGTACGCCACTCAGGTCGTCTATTAGTTTTTCATTTCTACCTGTCTCCTCCCATCGGGCAGCAGGACCTGGTATTTTCCATGGGCAGATCCCTCCAAACTCTCTTCGTGATGGCCAAATTCGGTGCCTTCTTGGTAATCATTCACCATGTATCCGAAATTGTAGTTGGCGGGTTCCTACACATAGAATTTAGCATAAGTACTGTTCTCTCTCTCTATTGTTTCTTATTTTATAGGTGATTGTACTTATACCAAATTCTGCATATCAGCTGGAGAAGCGAGGGAGGAGTAGGTCATTTTAATACAATAGCAGAAATTATCGTGAAGTGGAGAAAGAAGAAGAGTTTGCAAATGAGAACGAAGTGGGTTTCCTCAAAGTCTCAATCTCAAGTTAAGTCTCAATTAAACCGTTACGAGAGATTCCTTACTGTACCTTTCATCAAATTTATGAGTTGCGATGACCGCTTTCTTGGTTGCGGTCTCCTTTGGATATTCTTCTAAAGTATTAAGGCCATCATAAAGTACTTTATTGGAAACTCACTTCACTCGCGCCTTCGACGGCGTTCCTTCTGAGCTCGTCGTATTCCTGTGCGTGGTCTCCAAGTCTACCGACCTTCGTATTGGTCCCGTGGTCGTGGGGAATGCTTCTGAAATCAGAGGCAGACACGAGTCTTAGTAATGGGGTCCCGTTTTACCCTTTGGGTATGGAACCCTAAAATGAGCAAGTGTTCAATTTCCTGCCGGTCTCTTCTCAACAGAAACTCTGCTTTCCGAACCGGTGGTTACTAATTTAAGAACTTATACCATATGTATCAATTTTTAAGTAAAATAAGACGTTTCATAAAAGCGCGCATGCGTCTATTTGTATAAAGATGTTTTGAGTTTGAGTAATGATTATGGGATTAGGTCAATTATTTTATGTCAAAATCGGTCCAAACTTTGGCCTATACAGCGCTACAAACATGCACACATGGGTTGCTAAACACGTTACTCTCCTTTGCGTCGCTCAGTTGGGAAAAAATGCCACGTCCGCCGTCACTGGCCATAAGTATACGGTTTTGGTAATATAATATATACAGTTTGGTACATATTTTAACAATGAAAGGATCATAAAATCTATGGAAAAATCCAAAAAAAATGAGTTTCTATCCGTTGACCTCTCTGCGAATGAAAATCGACTTCCCCAGCCACCTCGGCTCGTTAACTTTTTTACTACAGACCTTGCGAAGCTATTCCCGTGGGCTTCCTGCCCATGAGCATCTAGACTCCTGGCTGCCACCACTTCCGGGATCCCGGCGTTGAAGGGCGCACCACCCTGGGGACCCTGGGGATATCCAGCGCTTCGTGCTGCTGGAGGAGGGAGGTAACTGAAAGAAGGAGTGTTAAAAATTTGCCAATAAAACGTATTTAATTTAAATATGTTTACACTTTATATGAGCCGTGATAGCTCAGTGTCCGGGCGCTCGCCTTTAATTCAATATACTCGAGCAACCTGAGTTCGATCCCCGGTGCCAGCACCAATGAAGTTTTTAACTTTAAGTGCTGTCTCATCATGTGCTCCGCGGTGAAGGAAAACATCGTGAGGAAACCTGCATATTTTCGAAATAATAATAAAAAAAATATTTCGAAGATATGTGAAGTCCGCCAATCCGCAGTGGGGCCGCGTGGTGGACTATGCCCTGATACCCTCTATATAGAGGAGGCCTTTGCCCAGCAGTGGGAATTGTATAGGCTGTTACTTTACTTTACTACTTTACTACACTTTATATTATTATTATATGTTTACACGAATTTTAATCTATAGAACTTTATAGTAATCGATATTTCCGGATCTCGTCTAGATCTTGGAGAAGAGATCCTGTTATGATCTCCTATAATACCGCTAATTTATTTCCAACCTCTATTAATTATCCTTACTAATATTATAAAGGCGAAAGTTTGTATGTATAGATGGATGTTTGTTACTCTTTCAAGCAAAAACTACTGAATGGATTTTAATGAAACTTTACAATAACATAGCTTATATATCAGAATAAGACATAGGCTATAATTTATATACATATTTTATGTAAATCTGTCTTTCTGTCTGAACTGTTACGCCTTCAGCCTATTTTACGCAGACGTAGTCGCGGGCAGCAGCTAGCTAGTTATCTATAATTTATCATGAGGTGATCTTTTAATGCCTTTTTGCCTGTTCCTCTATACAAAAAATATACATTTACTTGTAATAAATCAATTCGTTGAAGCATTTATTACATAAACCTTTCTTAGTACGAAGCCTAAGAAGTCCCTGAAGGAACAATTTAAAGAGTGACGTTCCAATACATGTGTCTAGTGTCATCATTTCGAATATGAGACAGCTTATTATAATGAACGCTTTTGAAACAGAATTTGCAGCCCCCCATAAACTATATCTTAGATATAAAATGTCAATAAAATGTTTAGAAGATGTGTTCGAGAATTCAATATGTTTATGGATGTTACTTTACTTGAAATTAGAATTAAAATATTAGGCGATATAAAAATTTAAATACCTTTTTGACGGTGGCAACTCAGATGCAGTTAAAGCGACCATGGTGACAGCGATGACGAATATCTGGAAGGTGTTCAGTATGTTAATAGTTAATTAATGTATTAAAGATTTTTAATTCGAGTGGAAAAAACCTGTTTGCCGTGACATATGTACATAGTGGTATAAAATTTTAAAATAACAACTAAACCTAAAAGAACATAAATTTTGAATAATATATTCTAGAATTAACACAGTGCACTTATATCAAATGATTTATCAATAGGAATCACATATCTTCTTTCGAGATTATAGTTGGAATGTCCAGAAAGAATTAACTCATTAAAACTTTCATTTAGCTTTTAGTTTTCTGATATACATAATACCTAATTTTATTTACAACTTATTGTATACGTAAAACGTTCGATAAATTGAAAAAAGAAATGTATAATAGTGTATATTTATGATATACAAAGTTTACTTTGCTATGTTTCGAATATACGAAATATTAACGATTTTCGTCGTAATTTACCTTCATGATGAAAGATTGCACTGGATACACTTCTATCGTAAGATGAATCACTGATGATTGATATATTAGAATCAGTGCTTTAAGCTTATATAGCGACAGTTAAAGTATGAGGGCGGGGGTGACTTATTGCTCTCATTAACAGAATAATAGAGAAGCTTTCAAGGTGGACACGCATTAAGAGCACAGAAAAATGGTTGGAAGGAGCTAAAACTTAAAAAAAAAATATATTTTCTTCCTTCTGTTTCGAATCTGGAAATTCTGCATTTAATTACCATTCCACTAAAAGAAACGATGTTAGACTTTCAATTAGCAACAGTAAAGTACTCTGATAATAATCGAAATCTAATTTTTTTGCTTACAGTTTTTATATTAATCAGCATGTTTTGTAAGTTGTTAAAATCTGATAATGTACACTAACATTAGCAGATTATAATGTCTGTAATATTTATGATAAAATCCTTAAATAGTCTAATTAAATTCTTATCGATGCACAATTCTTCTCTATTCCATGTACTGTTCCTACACAAGGATGTATTATAGTGACGACACGTTAAGACACAAAAAGCTTTGCTTCAGTCGACCTTACTCCGAATTGTCGTAGTGAAGATTTCGTGACACTTTTGATTTCCTCGCTCAAACCACCTTTGTCTTTTCAATACGTTAAACCTATGAACGTTTCTGTATCTGCAATAACATTTGCGGTATTAAAATAATGTTGCTCAGTAATACATTCCCTAAATCGTCACTTATCTGTTCCTTATTTAACTATATTTAAACACACAACCCAAACTAACCGAATATATTAATCATTGATTGATTTTTGTTGTTTTTCTTTCAAAAATCTTTGCCATTACTTTAGGATAGCAATATCCTGTGTTGAAGGAGGTTTTAGAAACATAAATCTCACGCGGACAAACACCCAGGTCCAAAATAACTATCTGTGGGTCACACAAATAGTTGTCCCTTGTGGGAATCGAACCCACGACCCTCGACGCTGAAGCCAATACCTTGGCAACTGCGCCACGGAGTCATCGTAATTTTTAATGTTAATAGTTGGTACTCAGTTCAGTGGCTTTCTTTTCCGAACCAGTGGTAGTATTTTGACTAGCAATAAGGTAATGCTCCTATGTTGAATAAAGATATTTGAATTATTATTTCAATTCTCAGGGGCTGCAGATGATTTTCCAAGCTCTAATAATAATGGGCCCCGGTTACCACAAACAAAGATATATACTTCTACGTTTGTTCTCTGTGAGTTTGTGGCACTTCCCCAGACGACCCTGCCCATTAATGCAACAACGTAAACTTTTACGGGGTCCTATGGATGCTTTATTTACATGTCACACGTTACCCACTTTGGTCTTTCTTGATGCCTGATACCGTACATGTATTGATCTGGAAGAGATAAGAGATTCGTGAGAATCGCAAGGCGATCAAAGTCTGTAGTCTAATCTCCGTGGCTCTCCGTATAAAAAGCTTGATTATTAATTGTGATATAAGCCTAGATGCATGTGTAATGTTTCCATAAAACGAATATAAAATAATGTGGTAGGGCCACGCAGTCACGGTGGTAGGGCCACGCAGCAGCCTCGGCTGTTGCACGAATGGGCAGGCCCGTCCGGGTAAGTACCACGACCTCACAGAAGACCAGCGTAAAGTGGAAGTATGACAAATACTTTCGCGTTTCGTCTAGTGAGTGAGGTAGCCGGAGCCCAATTTTCAAAAGGTTGCTAACGCATCTGTAACCCTCGGGTGTAGCTGATGTCCATGGGCGGCGGTATTCACTTACTATCAGGTGAACCATCTGCTCGTTTGGCAACTTTTCACATAAGAAAAATGTTTGGTTCGTAAAGAATTAAAAGCAGGAACAAGTAGTCTGAGATCAGGAGTACTTCCTGTTGCAGGACCTAAGCAAAATCTCTTGGTGTTGATGCGTTTGTGGGATTTGCTGTGGAAAATTCAATGTTAGGTTACCGCACGACATAATTTTCGAAAATCTCGTCTGTTAATTTTATAGGGCACGTAATTGAACAAAGAATTTGTTCTAACTTTCATTAATTACTCCACAAACTTATTTTAGGCGTACTGACAACCTTAGTTTTAATAGAAATAACATAAAAATAAATTAGTTTTTATTTTTTTGGAGACTCTTATTTTTAATAAGAGCAAGTAAAATAAACAATATTCATATAAGTAACATTTGAAAAATACTTATAAATTATTCTTTTAACGATTACACATTCTAATTATTCTAAAATTCCGTGTACATATTTTGCCATAAATTATTCATTCAGTAATGTATACAAAACTTAATATCTTTATTAATATTTATAAAATATACAGAAGTAACTTTTAAAACTAATTTTACTTTATTATTATGACTACTACCATATTTTTTGTTTTAATTCCTTATTAGATAACAAGCATACATTATTCAACTATAATAAAAAAATGTGTTGCATACGCAAATTGAGTTTATGACATATAGTTATTAACAATATTATTTTATAATTATTAAAGAGAGTTAAAGGTCAAGACGTTTGGAATTCACAAAAACAAATGACAAATGAATGCATTAGTCACACTAGGTTATATCACATTAGGTTACCAAACATATTTTTTTAATTTAAAAAAACATTGCCCTCACCTTAGGATAACATTATCCTGTGTTGTAAGGACATTTTTACAAACATAAATTTCACTTGGACAACACCCAAATGAGAAACAACTATCTGTGTGTCGCACAAATACATTGTGCCGTGTGGGAATAAAAGCCACGACGCCAAAGTCAAATCTTGGCAACTGCGCCACGGAGTCATCAAAACAGTTCTTTAAAGTAAAGTAACAGCCTATACATATCCCACAGCTGGGCAAAGGCCTCCCTTTTTACAGAGGGTATCAGGGCATAGTCCACCACGCGGTCCCACTGCGGACGGGCGAGCTTCACATATCTTCGAAATATTTTTTTCGTTATTTCGAAAATATGCAGGTCACGATGATTTCCTTCACTGTTGAGCACGTGATAAAGTCAGCAGTTAAAATTTACAATTTCATATGTGCTGGCACCGGGGATTGAACTCAGGTTGCTCGAGTATATTGAATTAAAGGCGAGCGCCCGGACACTAAGCTATCACGGGTCCTCATTCAAATTTTAAAAGAATTTGTCTATGCTATTAACCGGCCGGTTCTAAAAATTTTCAGTGTCGGGTGACACGTAGTACACGTAGTACAAAAAATACATTGGTATATGACACGAAAACTTTTTCCTTTCCTCATAATTTTCAAAAAAAAAAAAAACAATACAACAAAAGAAAAAAAGATAACAAAACACCAAAAAAAAAAAAACAAAAGAAAAAAAAAACAAAAAAAAACACAAAAAAAAACAAAACAACAAGACATAAGGCACAAAAAACAACAAAAAAAAAAAAAACCCGAAAAACAACAAAAAACGAAACACAGAAAAAAACAAAAAAAAAAAATAGCCCACAAAAAAAACAAAAACAAAAACCAAAACAAAAACCAAACAAAACCAAAAAAACAAAAAAACACAAAAAACAAAAAAAAAAACACAAACCCCCCCCCCCCCCCCCCCCCCCCCCCGGGGGGGGGGGGGGGGGGGGGGGGGGGTAGTACAAAAAATAAATTGGCTATATGAATTAATTAATTTATTTTATTTTATTTATTTAAATAAATAAAAATAAAAAGATATAAATGGCATAATTTTAATTTACGAAGAATTCACATAACTTTACGAAGTTTAAGGTTACATGATTTTTCACTTGTATAAATATTGTATTATATACTTACTAAAAGGTAGTGAGTGCGGTCTTTATGATAATCACAATTTCTGTTTTATTTTTCAATAGTTCGTAGCTACTTTCCATACTAATACCAATGTATAGCTGCTAGAACAAGACGTATTGGCTTTAAAAGTTTACTTTATTCTGTTACATTTATTTCCTTAATATTTCCTGATAAAGGTAGCCGTGTTTAACTTTGTATCTGTATTTGTATCTTTGTCTTTGTATCTTTGTATTATTATGGGTTATAATAATAGATGTAATAAATACATTTAATGATCATCAGTAGGACAAAATTGTTGATGTCTATTCGGGAAATGTAGGTTGTTGTCCACACGTTGTGTTCTGTACTTTTTCAACTGGGCTGGTTATAATCGTGTTAATACTCCACTTCTGTTTTCGACCAGTATACAGCGTGTCGTTACCACCGCGACAATAAATGAACACACATATAGAGGATAACTTTTTAAAATTGTATTAAACGTTTACATTCTTTAAACAGCAATATTTACCGAGTTATAAAATTTTCAAAAACAAACAATTTTAGAACATCCTTACGTATGAAATTGTAACGTAAAGTTCATTAGTAAAGGTCACAAAGCATGTGAATGGATTGAATGAATTTAAAAGAGACAAAACATACTGTTAGAAGGAGAGGCTTTTAATGCGACGCTGTGGCGCGAGTTGTATAGGATGATACAAATTTTGTTTCTTTTTTACTTAATTAGTTTGTTTGAAAAATATTTTTTTTAATTATGGATTTTATTTAACGTTAATATTTTTTTATGATTACTGGCAAGTAGTGAAAGTAAGTAGAAGTTAGACGTGTGTTCATTTATTGTCGCAATGGTAACGACACGCTGTATTTGTAGAAGAATGATATATTATTTTTTTTTATGTGAAAAATTCCCAAACGAGCAGACTGTTCACCTGATGTTAAGTGAATACCGCCGCCCATGGACATCTGCTACACTCGAGGGTTCCAGATGTGTTGACAACCTTTTGGAAATTAGGCTCCGGCCACCTCACTCACCGAAAGTATTATACTTCCACTTAACGCCGGTCTTCTGTGAGGTCGTGATACTTACCCGGACGAGTCTGCCCATTCGTGCAACAGCCGAGGCTGCTGCGTGGCCCTACCACCGTTACACTGTACAAAAAGTACGAAAAGATTGTCGGCATTGACGGCTTATTGACGCTTATTGACGGCTTGACGCTTTAACCACTAAGCTAAGCAGCTGATTGCCACACCGACTAAAATCTTAACGGCTTTTTTCTACATTGTTTATTAGCATTTGAAGCAATGCTTCGCGCATCTATTGTTATATCTTCTTGTATGTCTTGTATTAACTGATGTTTGTGCTTTCAGTACCGAGACTATTAAAGCTTCATCTGACGCAGAACCGGTGGGCTAGCCAGAACCCACGGGTTTGGGCCCTCCTAAACCTCCTAAACCTCCTGGCCCCAACGCACCATGTGCTCATGCGTGCGTTTAAGTATGGTGTGTCATCTTAGGGCCATCGAGGTCGCGGTTCGGACCGAAACCCCGATGGCCGTCGACTGTGCAATTAGCTAATCGGTGGCTGGGGGCGGTGAGAACCGCCCCGGAACGCGGGTGTACCTTGTGTACGCGCTGTGTTGGTCTCGCCGTGCTCGGAGGCGAGGGCGAACTAGTATGTTTGTTGTTGCACTAATTAAGGGTGTAGTGTTATCCGGCGGGACCCCAGGCGGTGGGTCCGGAGCATCTAAGCTCCCTTCCTCGACCGGGTCGATTATGATAGGACGTTTCGCGGGCGACGCTAGTTGACGTTCGCGTTTGTGTCGGGTTGGTAATTTGCTGCGCTTACGACCAGAGGGTTGGGATGATGTTCGGCTCTATCGAAGAACCGTTTGGTCAGGTCTTTAAAATATTTGCGAATCGTCGGGAGTCTGCTATCGCTGTGCAGGCCGTCGTTGCGTTGATACCGCGTTGGTTGCGCGGCGGCTGAACTTATTTTGTACTATTTGCAACTTGTACAAGCGAGTAGGGTGCGTGTGGGCGAAGGTCATGCATGCGTAGGACATAATAGGTCGTACACAGGTCTTATATAATAATAATTTGTGTCTTAAGGGCATTTTACTTTTAGCGTTAGTTAAATTGTGTAGCCGGCCGGAGGCGAACGCGGCTCTATTGCGAACGTTTTTAATGTGCGTAGTAAATGACATACGCGAGTCGAAAGTGACTCCTAAGTATTTGACCTTTTTCTCCCAGGGGAGCTGTTGGCCATAAAGGGATATTTGCCCCAACTTTCTGCATTGACGAGGGCCAATTGTTATATATCCTTTCCAGCATACAAACAATTTCGAATATCGTTTTACAACGATAATTCGAACGAGAGATGTCGCCATTGCTTTTTAGAAATTTAAATTGTTTATAGTGCTAATATTTGCACTTAAAATTGAACATTAAAATATGTTCTCAAATCAGCCGTTTAGCCCAAGACGTGGGTTCGATTCCCACAGCGGCGACAATCTTTTCGTACTTTTTCTACATGTTTTAATGTTCAATGTTACGTGCAAAGATTAGCACTATAAACAATTTAGAATAATATATATTTAAATTATGAACGGCTTTCTTTTTTTAACTTTACAATTACAATATTTTGCCCAAGCTAGCAAAATGGCAAATTTTTGCTCAATAATTTTATAATCCGCATACCGATTCAGCACAAATCTTCCGGGTGAAATTCCGACATTTGACTGAATTTAAGTAAAATTATGTGATAAAGATACAAAACTAAAATATCAGTAAATTTGTCCATATATGGATGGGCACTTGCCTTCCCATGGCAAAGGCGAAATCCCTAGTATCAAAAAGTTCACTGTAAAAATGTTATGAAAATAAAAATGTATATTTTATACTCTAAATTAAATGTTGAGAATGTGTGATTGCTGTAAATAACACAAGATAGCGTCATTCATTACAACAAATACAATACTGAACAAAGCAGATGTAGACTTCGAGAATTTAGCGAAGTGAGGATAGGACCGTTTAGCTTAGTGGCTAGCGCGTCTGGATGCTTAATCAAGAAGGCGTAGGTTCGAGTCCCGGCAGCGGTGAAAAGCCTTGTTACAATTTTATCAACAATTTTTTACCTTTAAGTTTCATTTTAAGTGCAGAGACTAGCACTAAAAAATAAAATTATTTTATTTTAATTATTGGATAAATATCCATCACTAATTTCCACTGATACAATACCACAGAAAAATATGTTTGCAAATTTGATTTTAATAAATATAACAACAAAATATACAACAATTACAAGTAATAACAAAAAATATCTTTAGTTAAATATTTCTTATATACGTTTTAACATTGTTACCTGCCTTGAATAGCTTATCTTTTTAAATTTTGTGGTAAGGCGAAAAATAGAGAAGTTATTTATAACTAAAGGCTGAATAAAAAAGTTTTTGCTCAATAAATAACGTTTATTTTTTCGTCTCCTCTTTACCACTATTTATCAATTTACTATACATAAAGCGCGATAGTAAATAATTAAGTGATAATGCAGTTCCCAAGCGTGTCTTTTTTTATATTTTAAATTGCGAATATAAACCATTTTTTTAATCTTAATACTATGTACATGAAATAATACATTGCCAGTGTCCGTTTTCGCATGGTTTCAGATTTTTTTTTGATTCTTCGAGATCAATAGGGTCCTTCGGCCGCTAAAGCGCTAGCCGAGTCGGCAGGCTCGACCGAGATCCGCGGCTTGAATCCGTCCTCATCCGCTTCGTACTCAACAATCTGAAAGAAGTTGTTTTTTATAATACATCTATCCAGCCCAGTCCTGTTATATAAAACAAAGAAATTGTTCTTATAACTGACGGTATAACAATTGAAGTTGTTTGCACATTAACACATGACGCTTCGTATCGATATCCCTGTCTTCGTCAGTAAATATGTAAATGAGCAAGCACACCTCACAGGTTGTTGCAAATGCATTACTGGTCTTCGAGACAGTAACAGATGCTAATCTTGAAGTTACCTGGTGATAACTAATTTTACGGAGTGGTTGTGCGAGGCAGGATACTTTGTGAGAGACACTTGGTGGTTGGCTGGTAACTTTCAAGACTATCATAAATTTGTTGTCGTCAATCCTCGAATTGTAGTAGTCACTAGCAAGTGATAAATGTTGCATGGTTTCCGTTTTAACCGTGAAACGCACCTGCTTGCTTCCATCTGGCAGCAGAACGAAGTACGTGCCTTCGGCCCTGTTCAGCTCACGGCTCTCTGTATGCCCGAAGTCACTTCCACTCTCGCCATCATTCACTTTGTAAGCGAACTCATAGTTAGCTGGCTCCTATAAGTAGAATTAGAGAAACTAAATTACTTAATAAGTCATAAAAAAGTAAAAGTAAAGTAACAGCCTATACATGTCCCACTGCTGGGCAAAGGCCTCGTAGTTAGCTGGCTCCTGTAGGCAGAATTAGACAAACCACTATTTATTAAGTCATTAATAGCACAAATTTGTTTTCGTTATCTACTATGTTATATCCCTTTTTGTTTTTTTTTTTAATTAAAAAACAATAAGTAATAAACCAAAACCATTATTTGCAAAACCGAAAAACGTTACAAGAGTACTTCTACAGCAATAGCATGTTTTTCAGCCTATATTTTATACTAATTTGCAACTGTAAACATATGCTCCTACGTTCAAATTGGAACAAAGAATAAGTCTGCAATGATATTATCATCATTGCAAACTCTTTCAATTGAGAGTACTATGTCTACTAGTTAATTACTACACGAATAAATAAGGCTAGATACTATGAGAGATAAGAGTTGATTTTGCAGTCTAGGATTTTATTTTGAACAAGACATTACCTGGTTAAGCTGTTCCAGAGCATTCCTTGTGTACTCGTAGCCCTGGTCTGTGAGAGCTTCTTGGGGAGTTCCGTACTGCATTGAGGGCTTAGTGGACCGAGATGTTGGTGCACCGTATTCCAGTGAAGGAGATCTGTGATATTTAGTTATGGTTTTGAAAGTGTTTTGTTAGTATTGCTCGAATGCTTCAACAGATTTACCAAGTGTCATCATACTCTGCGACTGAAACCATTTGATTATTAACACTCGACGTAAAATGAGGGGTGTAATAAGTTTGACGTGTCTGTCTGTGTATCTTTGTTCATTTGTGATATCGTAGATTATAAAAGAATTAAGCGATTATGATGCGAATTTTTTTTTGTTTGATGGTGTGATGAGATGATTCTTAGATATAATTTTAGTTTTTTGTGTAAGGTAGTTACTTAAAATAATATTATATAATTCTTTTCAGCATTAAACAGGCGATGCTATAGCACATCACCAAAGGAGTTGCAAGGGTTCTCGGTCTGTCTACAGGAACTTACCTTGTAGAGGCATATGACGAAGCAAAGGCGTTCGTGTTTAAATTTGATCTCCCGAAGTTAGCCGTTTCGTAAGATCTGGCGTCCTGGTACGGGCTTCTGTCATTGGGTACTCCGTAAGATGTCGACAAGGAGTTGGTGGATTCGCCAAAGCCGGTGACACTATTCCTTGCTGATGCTGTACCATGTTGTGCCGAAAGGGAGCGAGCTGGTGTCCCGTAAATCTGAGACGGTTCTCGCGATCTTTGCAATTGCGAGGTTCGTGATCCGAAAGAGAAACCGTTTGAAAGCGCATGCGATTGTGACAGAAGAGAGTTCTTAGGTGTGCCGTATTCTTGGCCGATAGACTTTGAGTGAGATTGGCCACCGCGGAAGTTGGGAACGCCGTACTTTTGGATTGGGGAGGACTGAGCGGTAAATTCGTTGGATGTACGGTATTCGGGAGCACCATATTGCGATGACGGTGAAGATCTCAGTGATGGAGCACCGTATAAGTTGGATGGGGAGTTTCTCAAAGACGGAGTCCCATACCTTTGGGACACACCTGTCTTTAAGTTGGCCGATGAGAAGCTCCGAGCCAAATTGGAGTGGGTTGAGTATTCTTGTGTGTCACGAGTTATGGGTGCGCCATACTCCTGAGATATTCCGCTCCTAAAGGTCGATACACCACCTGCAGGCAGTCCATATTCTTGAGATAGTCCTCCACGTGTGTTGGGTGGTCCGTACTCCTGGGAAACGTCTCTGGTACTTGGTGGAAGGTATTGGTTCGAGAAGGCGTTGAAAGATGTGGATGTTCGTGCGGATGGAGCGGTGAAGTCTGGTGGCAGATATTGTTGGTTCACGGTCGGATCGTGGCTGTGCTGAGCCGCTTCCAAGTAGCTGTCCCTAAAACAGAAACGTGTGACATTTGACTTTTTCTTTAAACGATAAAAAAGACAAGTTTTCTAAGCTTCTTCGCAATCATTGTAATGATGATAAAAGAAATAAGTTTAATTAATTTACTGAATTACTGAAATGTCCTTAGTTAATAATATTATTTTGATCAAACGTGAAAAATATTACATTTCATGATAAAATACCATGCAAAGCATTTTTAATCTTTTTATCACGAATAGATACTACTATGAAAGTGAAAAGAAAACCACGTCATGAACTACTGTATTGTACACTGGATCGGTTATCATTTAAGCTTCAAATTCAAAATAATAAATTTATTGTTAATTTTTGATACCTAAAAGGTATCACTTACCCGACTGGTGGTTCTGCTACCGCCAACGAAAGCATACAAAGTAGAATGAACATCTGGAAAGTAATACGTAACATTGACATTAGAATTAAATAAACGTATCGGATCATATTTACAACTTTATTGATCTAAACCGTAACTGATAAACTTTCTTAAACATATTATTTGTACTTAAATAGGTACATATTAGAGATAAATAAACAAGAGGTTCACCACACAATATTTTTCCAGTAGTGACAATCGAACCCAAATTCTCTGGTGCAAAAGTTTATCCGCTAGTGCTCAGAAAAAAATTATAGTACAATAAGAAAGAAAGAAATTATTTGTTTCATAAACAGCAAATATTTTAAATATAAGATAGTCATTTCGCATTTTTTTTTGTAAACTTAAGCACAAAATTGAAGGTTAGTAGATTAGAGGATTAATTTTGAAGACTTTAATATAATTCCATCTGTACCAGTAGTCTTAAGGTCTTTGTCGAGACTTTTAGGGGCAGACTGAATGTAAGCATTGCGAGTTTGTTTGTTAGAAATTGCACGTTCTTAATACAAAACTGATGTTCAACCTACCGTGGGGGCTTAAAGCTCAACCGATTCCGCTGAATAAGGGCTGTAGAATACATTAGCCGAAACATGGTGCACTATTTATATCGCTCGTAATTTGACTGTTAGCTTCTCTGATCCCGTTTCGTTTGCAGATTTCGGAACGCGATGCACGGTGAACTGAACTCTATGCTAATGTGGTAAGACCGCCTGCTGTAGGTTTTGATGCAAACCTATCGTGGTAAAGCTGTGCTATTGTCGGTAAAGCCTTCGCGTGTGCGTGACGACACCATCTCTCGTGTGTGGATCATTATCGTTTAAGGTGATAGCTAAGAGATCGATTCATCGTGATTTAGTGTCATTACAGCCCGATATTTGACGACCCGATTGGGTGTGTAGTGGGTAGTGGATAGTGACCTTGGCTCTTGCGCCAGAGGGTGTGGGTTCGATCCCCACTAATGGAAAAATATTGTGTGATGAACATGGTGTTTTTCCAGTGTCTAGGTGTTTATTTATATATCTATAGTATGTATTTATTTACAAAAGAAAAGTATGTTTATCAGTTATGGGTACTAGCCATGGTACAAACGTTGATTAATTCGGGACTAGAAAACGTTGTGTAAAAATGTTTCCTGTCCTGAAATAGCTACTGTAGTCTCTAAACAGACTTCGATCTGGTGTAGTAAGATGCCAAGATAACCGAGTGGAGTCTGGTTAATCCAAAGACATTAAAGCCCATCTGCTGCAATGTCCGTTGTGTACCTACGAGAACCTACTTGAAGCCAATTATTTAGGGGTGGATGTGGCCAAATACCGGTCGAATGAAATTTAAATATCTCGAAAATAGGCAGAAGACAAGGTTATCACAATGTGTTTAGTCACTTTAATACAACACATAACGATTAACTTTTATTTGAAAGAGGCTTTGAGATAAAAGTGTGCAAGGGAAGAAATTTATGCTCTTTCTTAATCAGCCAGTCTATGAATATAATGAATATATGATAATGACCATATGATTTATATTTGTCACGTTTAGAAGATCGAAGAAACCAGAAAAGCAAATCTTAACGTTTCTCTAAAAAGCGAATTTAAAAATTTTAAAAGCTTTCTTATAATCTTTAAGTGTAAAAATTGCAGTAAAGTAGTTTATCAAAAAAATGGTAAAGGACCTGTGTAATTCGTTATTGTGCTGATCGTACAAGCGATTCCTTTTAATTCAACCTACTCGAGCAACCTATGCTCGGTCCCTGGTGCCGACACTAGTAAAATTGCTAATTTTACGTGCTGACTCATCACATGCTCAATGGTGAAGGAAACCATAATGAGGAAAACTGCATATTTTCGAAATAATAAAGAAATATTACAAAGATAATATGTGTATCCGCCAATCCACAGTGGGGCCGTGTGGTGGACTATGCCCTAATACTCTTGTAATAAAGGAGGCCTTTGCCCAGCAGTGGGGAATATATATATGTGTATATGTATAATGTTACATATTATAAAAATATCATATAACGTAGACACCTCTCATCATAAAACATTTAACAGATAAAATTATTAAATATAGTCGAGTGACTCATTATCACCATCATTTCAGCCTGTTTGAGTCCACTGCTAAACATAGGCCTCCTCCACAGACTGCCTCGACTCCTCCATAGACTGCCTGGAAGCACGATCCTGAGCCACCTGCATCCATCGACTTCCCGCACATTTGCACAGGTCAATACATCTAGGGTCGTTATACACTGCGATGGCCAGTACGAGGCTGCCACTTGGGAAACCTTTCTTCCCCAACGGTTATTTGTTCTGCGAGCTATATGGCCGGCCCATCGCCACTTCAGCTTACTAACCTTCTGAGCTGTGTCGGTAAACTTTGTTTTACTGCGGATGTCTTCGCGTTTGTATTGTGTATTTTATAAAATGTATGACTCTATGGTGCCTGGTGACCCTGGTGACCGCCTGCTCGCTTGACATCTTCTCACGTAAATAGAAATTAAAAACGTGTCTTGTAATTAAATAATCAATACTTCTTCCATATTGTTAATTTTAACACCGGATTTAGTCTTATATTTCCCGTGCCTTTATTAGACCTGGGAGGGGTTGACACAACATATGAGCCATGTTGTATATATATAGTAATATTGGCTAATAGTTGACGACCAGCCGCCTTCCTGACATCAATCCTCCTTTGAAACAAAGACATAGAACAGGAAGCTGTAGATCATACAAACGTGTTCGTGTTTAAATCGAACCCAGGAACGACGGTGCCGAAGCCAATTGTAAAATTTAATTTTTTTTTCTTCTGTTTTAAAAATATTGCCCTTTCTTTATCATAACGTTATCCTGTTTGTAAGGACGTTTTACAAACATAAACATGTGGACAAACACCCAAATGGGAAAGAACTATTCGTGGGTCACAAAAACAGTTGTCCTGTGTGGGAATCGAACCCATGACCCCCGACGCCGAAGCCAATACCAACCAATACAACTGTGCCACAGAGTTATATTGATACTATAGTTTATTTTATAATGTTGTGTTTACCTGTATGTATGTACATATTGTTAAAACTTTATTATTAAGTCAAATTTATTTGTATGTAAATGTTCTGTACATATTTAATTTTAAACCTTATTTTATTTATTTATTAAATAAATAAATATATAATAATCGAAACATGGTAGATATGTGCAAAAAATCAAAACCGGCTAAGTGCGAGTCGGACTCACGTATAAAAGGTTCCGTACCATTATCTATAAAAAGGGCAAAATATACCATTTATGTTGTATGGGATGGGATCGTCACTTAAATATCTTTTTTATTCTCATGTTTATGATTTGTTGTTATAGCGGCAACAGAAATACATCATCTGTGAAAAATTCAACTGTCTAACTGTCACGCTCCATGAGATACAGCCTGGTAACAGACAGACAGACAGACAGCGGAGTCTTAGTACCCTAGGAAACCTAAAGACAAACTTTGAGCGGTCAACTGACCGAATTACAATGGTCTAGTATTGTTCTTTCAACGTGATCCGTGACGAATGACGACTTTTGTTTGTGACGCGAAAGTCGATCTGTTTGGGTCCAATCATGACCTTGCCCTTAATCGTCAAGCTCTTAGTTAAGGAGACTATTCTTGCCTTCAGAGTAACGCATTATGGTACCGTATTCGATTCTGAAAAGCGACGACCGATAATTGACATCATTGATAGTGAACTGGCTAATAAGCTGCCGATGTTTTTAAGAAATATATGCCATATTTCTGTAAAGTTAAGTCAGTAACAGCCTATACATGTATATACAGCCTATACGCAGCAGCCTCGGCTGTTGCACGAATGGGCAGGCTCGTCCGGGTAAGTACCACAACCTCACAGAAGACGACTATCGCGTTTCGTCTGGTGAGTGGGGTAGCCGGAGCCCAATTTTTAAAAGGCTGTCAAGTGTCAACGCTCCTGCAACTCTTGGGTGTAGCAGATGCCCACGGGCGGCGGTATTCACTTAACATCAGATAAACCGTCTGCTCGCTTGGCAACTTTTCACATAAAAAAAAAATAATAAATATTTCAGCACATTATCTAGTCCTATGGACACCGTGTACTATGGACAAGGGTAAATAATAAACATCCATATTTTTCTCTTGTATAAAAATACATACTATAGACATATGTATGTATATACATATTGTATAAACACCCAGACACTAGAAAATTGACTATGTTCATCACACAATATTTTTCCTATTAAAGGCTGTCGAATACATATAACGCTAAATCCTGTGGACTATTTATATCGCTTGTAATTTAACTGTGGGGGATTTTGGTCTAGTTCTATTGTAACATTTCAAATTGCGATGTACGGCAAACTAACTCTTTGTTAATTTGATAAGATCACTCGCTAAAGGAGTTGATGCAAAATAATTGATGTAAAGCAGAGCCATTAATGACAAAGCATGCGCGTGACGACACCATCGCTCGTATGTGGATCAATCGTATGTGGTGATAGTTTCAAAGATCGATTTAACTTGATTTAGACATTATCAGAATCAAATTAGATAACGTTTAGTTAGGGCGGATACCGAACGGATCTTTCCTTAAAGGCACATGATTTTGTCCCGTACAGAAATTGAACATATTCAGAGTTTAAAAGAAATGAATCTAATTAACAGTCACTTTTTTTACTATTTTATTTTATTTATGATATTAAAACTTCTATTTCAAGCAAGTACTTAATATTTTTGCTATTATTCTTTTGCTAGTAGCAATATTTGAAAAATATTTGTATTAAATACTTTTCAAATTCTTTATAGATTATTTCCAGAGCAACACTAACGTATACATTCCAGTATACACTATACCTTGTTTTGAGAGTCGCACATTATTTTATTTAATAATGTAAACACATATTCGCATATTAACAATTATGGAAATGACTCTTGCTCTGCACTTGCAAGACCCCCGGCCGCTGCTGATTTTATACCTTAATAAGTTTGTATAATTGCATCACAAAAAAAAAACAAAAATAACAAGACCGCAGAGTTTCTTGCCGGTTCTTCTCTGTCAGGTCTAGTTTAGTGAACCGGTGGTAGATTTTTTGTTGACGTTCAATAAGAGCTTAAGTTAAGCCTATATTGAATATAGATACTTTGACTTTGACTAACATTTCACTATCACTTCATGTACTTCTTTTAGTGGATTTGAAACTTTCTCCTCACGGAATGTCTAGATTTTGGTCTCACTTTGAACGGCGTTGGCGGCGTTACTACGGTCACAGTCTCCTTAGTGACACCATCGAATATTTCTAGCTCAGGATTCGTGTAGCAGCGTACTTCTATCAGCTCCGTTGTGACTATTTCGTTAGTGAGCCCAGCGGCTTTCATTATGTCACTCACTTTCGGTGCCCAGAAATGGTATTTCCCGTACACATGGGCGTAGTTCAATACAATATTGCCAACCAGGCTTGCCGCATAACGTATTTTGATCAGGAGTATCGTCTTCGTTCCCTTGAGCCTGCTGACAACCCTTTGAGAGGGATTGATAATTATGTAGCCGTTTTTTGTGACTCCAAACGGCAGGGACGCACTCTGGAAATTGTCGTGTCTCCATCGATTATGGTACTTCACCGCTCTACCATTGAAGCTGTAGTCGATGTCGAAGTAAACCTCGTCTTCTGGTAAACCGTCTACCGACCAAAAAGAGGAGATCGTACTCTCAACCATTTCAGATATTATGGCTCGCGATTTGATAGTTCTCGTCGAGTTATTAATGTGCTCGATTGATTTGACGACAACCTTATCGCTTATCACATCCACCACCTCCGCACTTTTAACTCGAAGACTCCTCTTAACTGGCATCCAGTTATATTTATAGTGTAAATCGCCGTATTTTGTGGGATCCTTCAAGAATATGTCGTCGGGTTCTTTGCCGAGCTCTATTAGGACACCTTTTCTCAAGTTGCTGTCCGTTATATTGAAAAGTTTCTCCTCTAAAGCGGTCACAACTTTTTCATCGACACCATAATAATTTATCAACACTTCCTTCTTCGTTGGTGCTGCATATACGAATAAATGTATTCTACTCTCGCATAAAACGCACTGGAGGACCAATCCTGCCAGGAATATCCGATGAATACTGTTTGAAAACATTTGAGAGGAAATTGATTTGCAGCGACGAAGAGCTGCTTGGATGCATTACTAAATAAATGATAGCCTGTTAAATGATATTGTTATTAATAACATAACCTAGACATATTTATCGATCGTAGTTCAAGAGTCAATGTAAGTATGTTATCAAAAACAGCACAATCTATTGATTAGTATTCTATAACAGTTAAATTGAGTTGTCCGTCTGTGATTTACAAATAATCTTTGTATTTATCTTGTATTAGTATTATGAATATTTTTCTCACATTTACATTCATAATATACTTCTTTATGGGCCTTTAAAGATGTGATGGAGTAGGACATTTACATACCACAATTAATATTCCAATATTCATCATAACTTTCCATTATTTTAAATCATTAGGTCATAAACACGTGTCACGTCACGTGTCACAGTGGTAGGGCCACGTAGCAGCCTCGGCTGTTGCACGAATGGGCAGGCCCGTCCGGGTAAGTACCACGAGCTCACAAAAGACCAGCGTAAAGTGGAAGTATGACAAATACTTTCGCGTTTCGTCTGGTGAGTGAGGTAGCTTTAGCTCAATTTTCAAAAGGTTGTCAACGCGTCCCTAACCCTCGGATGTAGCAGATGTCCATGGGCGGTATTTACTTACCATCAGGTGAACCGTCTGTTCGTTTGGCAACTTTTCACATAAATAAAAATAAAAAATTAATTAATTGGCCTTTTCCTAACAGCATAATAAAGCCGTGACATATAATTCCATGCAAGCTGGATGAATTTTCCCCGAAAATGGTAATGCACAGCCTTAAAGTGAAAAAAAAAACTGACATTTTATGACTAACATAACCGAAACATTAAGACGAGCATGTAATTTTTTATAATATTTACCAAAAAAAACCGACTTCAAACCGGAAACTAAAAAACATTGTCAATACCTATAACATTTGTGGATTGCCCTAGATTTCTCTGGGATGCCATCATCAGATCCGGGTTTTCTTACCATGGTATTCTTTCGATATCTCCTTTCCAACAAAAAAAGAATCATCAAAATCGGTTCTTAAACCAAGAAGTTATCCGCGAACACAAATAAAAAAAGGAGATACGGTCGAATTGAGAACCTCCTTCTTTTTTGAAGTCGGTTAAAATATATGTCATAGATCTGTGATGATAACAGTACGTGCATATGGCAATTTTAGTCATACTTTTGCCATACACTGATTACATAAAAAGGTGAATGGTCAAAGCTTGTGAACATAAAAGTGACAATGACGTAACATAGTAGTTAAGAAAATATTAATTTGATATCAGAACGTTATTTGAAAATTAATAAATTGTATTCTCGGGTAGTTATCAAACGGACGACGCCGGCACTAGTACTGCTATAAACTGAAATAACAGATTCATAGCCTATACATATCTATACAGATAAATAAAATTGGAGTGTCTGTTTGTAATATAAAAATAACCCGTTTTACTCAATGCATGTGAATGTATACACGGAACATGTCCCAAAATAACATTTTTTACAATTTTTGTCTGTCTGTCTGTTTGTTCCGGCTAATCTCTGAAACGGCTGGACCGATTTTGACGGGACTTTCAGATAGCTGATGTTATAAGGATTAACTTAGGCTACTTTTATTTTGTTTATTTTAAATTCCACGCGGACGAAGTCGCGGGCACAGCTAGTATTAAATATAGGTTGATACTGTATTCATAAGGCATTGTTCAAGTAAAGTTTCGTAAAGCCTTTACCACGCTCAGCTAGCTTCCATCGAATCGATGCTCGGAGTGCAACCACAGGATCTAATCAAACGGCATGCCGTTTCATATCATGATATGGTGTCGGCAATCGTCATTAACCGTCAACACTCCGATACCGCCACGATTACGAAGCGCCGAAGGCCTTTCGGCAATGGGCCTATTTCGGATGCTAGCTGCCTAGAAACTTAGCTGCCTCCTGTTTTAACGTTTATTCCGACGTAGCAAAGCTACGTGTGCGTAACATGAGGTGATTTTTAGAACACGTTTTTTTATAAAACGTTCTCTAGACCCAAACTAAGCAACGCTTGTACTATGGGTACTAGATTATTAGACTAGATATTGATCTTTAAAGAATGTAAAATCTTAATACAATTTTTAAAAGTTATCCTCTATATGTGTGTTCATTTATTGTCGCGATGGTAAAGACACGCTGTATAAACAGCCAGACACTAGAAAAACACTATGTTCATCAAACAATATTTTTCCAGTAGTGGGGACCGACCCAACACCTTCTGACGCAAAAGGCGAGTATAATACCCACTACTCCATCCATTCGGGTCGTCAAAAATTTGACAACATGTTCCCGATTTGCATCGAACCGATCCGATGCAAAGGTGCGACGGTAATTCACGCCGAGGCAGATTCTTGCTCTATACAAGGCTCAAGTCCGATCGTGTGTGGAGTACTGTTGCCATATCTGGGCTGGGGCTGCAAAATGCCATCTGGCTGCCCTGGACTCAATGGAGAGGCCTGTGGAAAGTTCATTGGTGACCATAACTAGGTTAAAACCAATCTCACTAGCCTTGAGCACAGGCGCAGAGTCGCCAGCCTCTCCGTTTTCTACAGGATACATTATGGAGAGTGTGCGTTGGAGTTACATGATCTTATTCCTCCCGCCCCTTTCCATCATCGGACAACCAGGCGTTCGGCGGGGCTCCATCCTTATGCTGTCGACGTACCAAGTACAAGAACAAAGCGATTCGCTTCTTCATTTATCATCCGTACAGCTAAGGAATGAATAACCTGCCCGCGTCTGTCTTTCCGTCCGAATACAACGTTTGCGTCTTCAAGGCAAGAGTGAATAGGTTTCTACTGAGCTAGCGCGCTTACCATCAACGGCTGCATCGCCACTTACCATCAGGTGGGATGGCAGTCAAGTGCTAGCCAGTTTTTGAATTAAAAAAAAAGATTTCGCTTTGATCCGTTCGATATATATAGCCTCGTTTAAGTATTTGATTGTTATTACCTCATCGGATCATGAATAGGTATTCCTTCATAGATACGTGATCATGATTTGAAGTATTCCTTCATAGATACTCGTAGTCGAGTCAGTTCAAATGGCAGATTGGCATAACAATTCAATGATAGAAAAATAAATATTTTCCCATCGAAGTTTTTTTTCATTACGCAATAACTTAGCGTTGCAGAAAAACTGTCCGTACATTAATATTAATACTGAAATTAAAGAGCGGCCGACTTCTTTGGAAAGTAATTTCGATGATAGTCGTGTAGGTTAAACAGGCATTAGCATTTTTATTAGGGCCCAAGGGTATAAATACAGTCGCGTTCAGTGTAGCTGTGTAAAGACTGGGAAGGCTTTATATCAAGACGTAATTTTTACCCTAGACACATAACGATGATAAAAATTCTGCTGATCTTTGCAATTGCGTGAGTTAAAATTTTAGTTTAATTAAGTAACAGCCACGAAGTACGATCTTGAGCCACCTGCATCCATCGACTTCCCGCACATTTGCACAGGTCGTCACTCTATTTAGTGGGGCGACCCCCACACTGCGATGGCCAGTAAGAGGCTGCCGCTGCATATGTCTATGGGGGAGGCCTATGTTCAGTGAACTCAAACAGATTAAAATGATGATGATGATGATGATGAAGTAACAGCTAGATTAACATCACACAGAGTTTAAGACGTAAAGTCATTTTGGTCCCCCGCCCACAGTTCATCATCCGTGTTTGTAATATGAAATACTTACAAAGCAAGTCTTGATTATTTCCTCTAGTTTAGTGACGATTGGGTTCAATATGTCCACTTCAGCTCTTTAAAGTCATAACTCGGTTAATCTATTCTAGCCATAGTCTGATAATTTCGAGACACCCGCAACGGGTTGTTTTTAACGGTGGTAGGGCCACGCAGCAGCCTCGGCTGTTGCACGAATGGGGACGCCCGTCCGGGTAAGTACCACGACCTCACAGAAGACCAGCGTAAAGTGGAAGTATGACATACTTTCGCGTTTGGTTTGGTGAATGAGGTAGCCGGAGCCCAATTTTCAACCATTTTTTGTAACCCTCGGGTGTAGCAGATGTCCATGGGGGGCGGTATTCACTTACCATCAGGTGAACCGTCTGCTCGTTTGGCAACTTTTCACATAAAAAAAACCTTTCGATGTTAGCTAAACGCTAAAGTTTCTTGTCTCTAAACAAATAACATTAACATTTGAGCAATTGTGACCCTTAGTGCTTATGTATTGAAATAACATTTCTTGTACGTGAAAACCTAATTGATTGTAGAGTTAGATAAAAAACAGGTAGAATAGCATTTTTGAAAACTGTTTTCAAATGATATTAACTTACATGGTAATGCCGCATTGCCGTCTAAATTTTAGCATGCTCGCCGAAGTATCCCTTAGCACCCCGCGTGTTGGAGACGACGCCTCTACGAATAATGCCGCCTCGCCAGATTGCCCACCGGAGGACGAATGTGGTTGGCATTGCTACCTCGACACCAATGTAATCGATTTTTTATTTAATTATATTTAAAAAAAAATCCTTCACGTTGAATATTTCGTCGGGGAATGTTTTATGCAAAGGCGAGTTTAAGCTTTGTACTGCTGAACAGCCTTACGTCTAAACACACGCGGGTTTATCTTTTAATGATTGTACGTAGACTCTGATTCCAACTGACAGCCCGCAGCTCGGAATCCCCTTAATTCATCCGTGATCAACTTCTGGCTAAAACATTTCAGATGCTAAATTAAAATTGAAATGGAACGTGCTTTTTTTTTTGTTATTTTTTTTTTGCTCCTCGAAAATGGGAGATCAGTGGCCCTTTTAATATTTATCGTGATTTACTATCTTTCTTTCTTATTAAACTAATCAATTCCTTATATAAAATTACATTTCTTTCACTTACTTAATTTCTAACAAAAATCTTCTGCATTGTTGTTTCCTAAATACATTATTATTTCGACTCAATATTATAGCTTGACAAAGTTTAACAACATAATTTCATTCTGTTTCAAGCCAAATTCCAAAAACGAGGACAAGTCGAAGAGGAGTGGGAACGATGAAATGAGGGAATCCGTCTTAGAGGACGCATGGGATCTTCGGCAGTATGGTTACCCACTCTGGAACTATAGATTGTATAACGGTGGGTATCCAATCAGATTTCCCTTTATTAGGGATGTTACGGTTACGTGGATAAAGAACACAATAAAATGGACTACTCAATCCCTCGGAAAAATTACCCATTCACTTTCGAACAACGCTTAACGCATCTGTTAAGGTTTTGACTTCCGATTCTAATGATTTTAAAATGTCAAAAGTATAATAATAAATGAACCAGTTAAATTAATTCGTTACCTGTGATATGTTGTTTTTCGACACTTTATAGGATTCAGTATTATTTTTACATCATCGATGTAAACAGTACCTTCATAGACGCCGTCGTGCCACGTAATGGCAGGTGGTCGGCTTACTATGATGAAAATAGTAAGCCGACCACTTGCCATAGAGTGCGTGAGGCATGCTTTCATAAACGGTCCGGTTTACTTACTATGCTTCACTTTAAATAATCGTGGCCCGCATTTTTTTACTTTTTTTTGTCCGTTTTAATAATATCAAACAATTGATCTAGCGGGTTTGTAATTGTTTGCAATATACGATGTTTTTTTTTTTTTTGTATAACATTACCACTGAATAATTGATTGATCAATTGCTTTATAGAACTATCGAAGATCTTGAAGACTTAAGTCATTGTTTGAAGATTTCATGCTCGAAGAAACAATAATGAGAAAACTTAAATGGACAACGAAGTTTAATGTTAATGCCATATTTTAGCTGTTATTTAAAATAAATATAATTATGTTATAGATTGTTGTTACAGTTACAAATATTTATTACAACTGATACAGTAATTATTATACACTATTTTGGCGGCGTTGTAGTTTCTATGCTATTTTTGAGAATAAAAATACTATTACCTGCTATATAACAAAATGTTTTTTTTCTGTATGTAGACGAAACATTACCCGTTAACTTTAAGGAGATAGCAGCAGAAACAAGAAAAGACAACCTATTAAGTAGGATTTTTGGTTATATTATGTTCGGTTGGCCAGGAAAGTGTTCGACAGGCGCTCAGATTTGAACATTGATCACGGCTGTATTTTATACAAATATCGTTTTGGTGATACCACAAACTTTACAAAAAAAAGTTTTATTAGAAATTCACGATGGTCATTTAGGTATCGTAAAAATGAAGTCCATTGCTAGGAATTACGTTTATTGGCCAGCTCTCGATAAAGACATTGAGTCGATTGGAAAAAATTGTGTGGCGTGTTGCAACGTGCGAGACGCACCCCCGCGGTCTTCGTTACACCCTTGGGAGTTTCCTTCGGGACCCTGGAAACGGCTACATGCCGATTTCGCCCAACTCTTCGGAAAATACTACATAATAGTAGTGGATGCTCACAGTAAATGGCTGGAGGCGGAGATACGTAGCACATCAGCGTATCATACTATCAAGTTTTTTAGAAGTTTATTCGCTAAATTCGGCCTTCCTGAAAAGCTGGTTACACATAATGGGCCGCCATTTCAAAGCGCTTATTTTAGGGAGTTTTGTGATAAGAACATGATAAAGCACGTTACTTCCTCGCCGTATAGACCTCAAGGTAACGGAGCAGCTGAGAATTCAGTAAAAATTATTAAAAAAAACCATAAAAAAGGCTGTATTAGAAGGTAAGGACATACACGCCAGCTTATGCCGATTTCTTCTTCAATATAGAAATTGCCAACATACAACAACGAGGGTAGCACCTTCGGTGGCTCTTTTGGGACATCGTTTAAGAAATAGGCTCGATGCGATGCGCCCGAACACATCTAAAATAGTGGAAGAAGCCCAAGATAAAGAAGTACAGAACTCCAGGGGCGTCGATAGAAATTTTAATGTAGGGGACAAAGTATTAACGCGAAATTATTCTACTAATAACCTTAAGTCGGTTGAGGGCAAAATTATAAAACAAACCGGCCCGCTTTCTTACAAAATTGTAGATAATTACGGGGCGGTGTATAGGCGACATACGGATCAATTATTACCACTCGGCAGTAATCGGTTTTCATGGGATATAAATGAAACTGATCAAAATGTGCATACGGATGAGTACGTCAACACAAGACCGCGAAAAATAAATAATGATCCTCAAGTTATCATTTCTGACACCGAATATGAAGACTACACCACTAAACGGTCGGAGCCACTTGATAGTGACAACAGAACATCCTCTCCTACGGTCACCGAGGCTACGAAGGTACCGGAGATTTGTGAGAACTCACCAAGTCTACGAAGTTATACAACACGTATGCGTGAATCACCCGGAGAGTTGAATGAAAGAGCTCAGAGAGCACTAAATAATTTTGTCATATTTAAAAAAAATATATATATATATATATATTTAGATAAACGTAATATTTATTATAAAAATAAAATAAAAAATAGCTCTACTCGTAATAAGTTAATTATTGTATAAGTTAATTATGTTATGATCAATTAAAATTACCTTGGTGGAGGGAAAAGTGATAGATTTAGGTTTAAATTTTGTTATTAGACATATATAAGATAATTGTTCGGGTTTTTAGTGAATAAGTTTTTGGGTTTTTTTTTTATTTTATTTTAGTGTATTGAAATATGAAGGGAATAAAAGGAGATGTGTAGTGTGCCTTCTGCGCCAGAGGGTGTGGGTTTGAAAAATATTGAAGGTATTTCTATATGTAGAATTTAAAAGTATGTTTAAGTATGTTTATCAGCAGTACCCGTACAACCGCTAGAAAATGTGTGTTTAATCCGACCGCTGTGTTTAATTGACGTACACTTAAGAAACCTGCATATTTTCGAAATAATAACAAAAAAAAATATTTCGAAGATATGTGAAGTCCGCCAATCCGCAGTGGGGCCGCGTGGTGGACTATGCCCTGATACCCTCTATATAGAGGAGCGGGCGGTTCACCTGATGTTAAGTGAATACCGCCCAGTCATCAGCTACACCCGAGGGTTGCAGATGCTTTGACAAACTTTTGAAAATTGGGCTCCGCCTGCCCATTCGTGCAACAGCTGAAGCTGCTGCGTGCCCCTACCACCGGCAAAGTTTGACTACTAGTGAATACCTAAGGCACGTCAGACCAAACCGTGTCTAACTTTTGATTTTTTAAACGCATGGGGGCAGAAACACCAAGCTGGTCAATAAATAGAGTATTTAAAAAAAAACCACAGAAACCCTTGTATACAATACTAGGCTTTGCACGGGTATTTAACAAAAACAAAATTAAAAATTATAATACTGTTAGAAGATAGGAGGGTAGTAGCACATTGCGACGATCTATAAACGGAGCAGCGCTCGCCGTGTCAAGAGACTCATCAGCCGTTGTAGAGTGCGGTAGCTCTACCCGAATTAATAACGATTGTGTCGGTTACTTAGAATTGTAGTGAAACTTCTGTTAAGTTTGGCCTACTGGTCAACAAATTCTTTTTAAAAAATCAATCATCGTTTCCATTTCCTAACAATACTGTTACGAACACACAAAGAAACTAGCACCATCTAGCGTCAACCAGTAAAATCACTCGAAGAACAAATACACATAAACCCTTCTACTTCTGGCCACGGCGTCTGATGTGCTCTATGGCTGATACTGCGAATTTATCCAACAGGCCCGTTTTTGCGGATAGAACGTATAGATCGTTGCTCAAGATTTAGATATAGCGAAAGTTTAAACGTAGAATGAGCAGTTTGCCTATCCGGAAAGGGCAGCAATTCCTTATGTAGCAACTGCTATCGCTATCTCTCTTGATAGTCGTATTTTAGCAAGTATCAAATTTGCAAGAAACGTTTTCCCAGTGCCACCAGGCGCATCCAGAATCTATTTTTTATTTGTCATTGTTCACGCTATCAACTATAGTTTCAAAATCGTGTCTTTGAACTGGGACTAATTTCGGCAGATTTTCATTGATAACAGCGGTCAAATTATTTTTACTAACGTTATGTACCATTGTATCTGTAGTATTGTTTTCTGTACGAACTGGAGAAGGTAATCCATAATCATATAGGCTTTCATCACTTAATTGCAATAGTTTATTTTCTATTCGTATCAAACCTATCTAAGGTTTGATACGAACATTCTCACTGTATGGTAAAGCGAAGTTCTGATTTTGCTGTCTGATTCTATGTCTAATATTTTAACATAAATTGTCTTTGAAATTGTCCCATGATTTTTATGGTTCCGATGGCTGACAAAATAAAGTTTATTACTCTACTACAAACAACTCTCTCCGTTGTACTGTACATTCTGAAAGCGATGATTCTCTCAGAGTATTTTCCCAATGATCATTGTTTTCTAGCAAACCTCTGTCACGGCAAGCTGCTTGATAGTTCTCTTTGCGAACTCCGTCAACGGTTTATAAGTACTCGAATGAGATTGGACTGCAAACGTAGCAACATCCTAAGATAAAAACAACCTGATTGAGAAGGATGTACATCGTAAACTCTTCATAAAGCGGCATCCTTTTTATGGCTGGGTGGTCAAAAAACAAAAAAAATGTTAACTAAAGTCAGTTACATCGAAGGGACTTATGACACTTTAAATAGCAATAGCTAAATAAAGGCTTTAGGATTACCATATGGTTCCCTTAGAAAGGCGTAAGACCTTGTTAAGCACAACACGTTATAACTTTCTTGCACAAACTCTTATGTTTTAAAATTGACTGGCTAAATAATTAATAAACCGGCAGAAAGACACCGATAACATCCTTGCTGAATGCATTCAATTCTATTTTTCAAAATTGTGACAGGGATAAATATTTTGATATCTTAAATATTATAAAGAGTGAGAGGTGTTAGCACATTTCACAACCATTTCATTTTAAAAGGTTTCTTTTATTTTCTCTTTTTTATCTGTACGTTAAAAAAGCTATGTTTTTTTTTTGTTCTAGTTTCCATATTTGGTTACTTTGCTACCTTTGTATATTATAGATCTTCTTCTTTTGTTCGATATTGTGGTTGTATTTAATTTAAATGCATATTATATCCAATGTCAACTTTAAATTTTCAGTGCATCACATAAGAATAATAACTGTTTTTTTATCTATTTGGTTGGTAAGCCTGTTTGAATAATTAACAAAAATAGATAAATAAGCAGCGTCAGGGTGTAGTACTAGCGGAAGAACAAGAAGGATTTGGCTGGACTTTGAGAAGTGACATAATGATATGACTGTGAAAAGGGTGAGTATAGAGATGAGAGCTGATAGAAGAAGGTAGTAGGAAAGGATATGTTATGCCAACCCCTTCTAGTATGGGGTAAAGACAGGAGAAAGAAGAAGAATAAACTTCATAGGACAAAGATACAATGAAGTTGAAAGAATAGTAAAACTTTATTTTTTCAACACCAGCAATTGAATCAAACAGCACGCAATAATTTGGCATTGCAGGAAAGCTGTCCGTACATTATTATTAACACTGAAATGAAAGAACAGCCAACCCTTTTGGAAAGTAATTTCGATGATAATCATATAGTTAAACAGGCATTAGCATTTTTATTGGGGTCCACGGGTATAAATACAGTCGCTTGCAGCGTATCTGTACTAATACTAGTACGGCTTCATCGCAAGACGTTACTTTTACCTTAGACACAAACCGCAAAAAAAAATAACGATGATAAAAACCGTGCTGATCTTTGCAATTGCGTGAGTAAATTTTAGGTAAATTAAGTAGCAGCTAGATTAACATCACACAGAGTTTATGACGTAAAGTCGTTTTGGCCGCCCCACAGTTCATCATCCGATTTTGTAATATGAAATTGTTACAAAACAAGTCTTGATTATTTACTCTAGTTTAGTGACGATTGGGTTCAATATGTCCACTTCAGCTCTTTAAAGTCATAACTCGGTTAATCTATTCTAGCCATAGTCTGATAATTTCTAGACACCCGCAATTCCTTTCAATCCTTACTAATATTATAGAGGCGAAAGTTTGTATGTATGTTACTCTTTCACTCAAATACTACTGAATGGATTTTAATAAAACTTTACAACAATATACCGTATACATCAGATTAAGACATAGGCTATAATTTATATACATCTTTTATGTATACCTGTCTTTCTGTCTTAATGTTACACCTTCAGCCTATTCTTGCATTCATTCTTGCATACGTAGTCGCGGGCAGCAGCTAGTGTTAGCTAAATTATGAATTTTTCTTGTCTCTAACAGTAACATTTGACCAATTGTGACCGTTTGTGCTTATGTATTGAAATAACATTTCTTGTACGTCAAATCTAATTGATTGTAGAGTTAGATAAAAAATAAGTAAATAATTTCATTTTTGAAAACTGTTTTCATTGCATTTTAGCATGCTCGCCGAAGTATCCCTAGGCACACCGCGCGTTGCAGACGAGGCCTCTACAAATAACGCCGCCTTAAGACATTGCCCATGTGCCTGGCATTGCTACATCGACACCAATGTAATCGATTTTTTATTTAATTATATTTTAAAAAAATAATTTCACGTTGACTCTTTTGTCATTAGAGATCAGTGGCCCAATTAATCTTTATCATGATTTGCTATCTTTCTTTCTCATTAAACTAATCAATCTCATCTAATTACATTTCTTTCATTACATTTTTTTACTTACTCGTAAGTTCTAACAAAAAGACTACCGCTTTGTTGTTACCTAATTACATTCTTATTTACACTCAATGCTACGAGTATAGGGTGAAAACAAGAGCACGTCGACAAGAAGTGGGAACGATGAAATGAGAAACTCCGTCTTAGTGGACGCACGGGAACGTCGGCAGTATGGTCTCCCCCTCCCGAACTTTAGATTGTATAACGGTGGGTATCAAATCAATTTCCCCTTTATTAAGGATTTTATCACGTTACGTGGACAAAGAACTAAATAAAATGGATTACACAATCCCTCTGAAAAATTACCCATTCACATTCTAACAACACCTAACGCATCTGTTAAGGTTTTGACTTCCGATGGAATGATTTTAAATTGTCAAAGGTATAATAATAAATGAACCAGTTAAATTAATTCGTTACCTGTGATATGTTGTTTTTCGACACTCTTTATAGGATTCAGTATTATTTTTACATCATCGATGTAAACAGTACCTTCATAGACGCCGTCGTGCCACGTAATGGCAGGTGGTCGGCTTACTATGATGAAAATGAGTGCGTGAGGCATGCTTTCATAAACGGTCCGGTTTACTTACTATGCTTCACTTTAGATATTCGTCACACGGCGTTTTGATATGTTATTTGTCCGTGATTATCCAATACTACATCGAGAGTGTTTGTGATTGTATCCAGTATACGATGTTTTTTGTGTATTTTTAACACTTAATAATTGATTGATCGATTGCTTTACAGAACTGTTGAAATACTCGATGACCTAAGCCGTTATTTGAAGATTTGATGCTCGCAAAAACAATAAAAATAAAACCTAAATGGACAACGGAATTTTAATGTTAATGCCATAATTTAGCTATTATTTAAAATAAATATGTTATTTAAAAAAATGTATATGTTATTTATTTGGAATTGAATTTTATTCAGCATCAATCGCTTTTAATCCAAGCACACCAGAAACACCAACTCCATTCTATAGAAATCGGAAAAATGTTTTATATACGACAACATCCCAGGTTATACAAGATATATACAGCGTTAGGAACGCAAAATATCTCAGTCTGTCTCGTAACCATGTTGTCCGTAGAGAGTTCAAACTCCCGTGAAGTAGAAGAGGCATTATCCCATGGTTTCAATTAATTTAAAGATTTATATAATCCACTATTACACACAACTTATTTCTTCTTTTGCTCTTTTAAAGTATTTAATTGAAAGCAATTGTCTTGTCCCAGTTAGTTCGACTGCTAGTGAATACCTGAGGCATGTCAGCCCAGACTGGGACTAACTTTAGATATATTATAAGCGTGGAGATATCTCCAATCATACACAACTAGCTGGTTCAATAAATTAAGCAATTTAAAAAAGTTTCTGTGTAATTATGTAGTAAAAACAATTTTCGTCGCTGTGGCTATCAGCCGTTTAGCTCAGTGGCTAGAGCGTCAGGCCGCGAATGCCGAAGACGTGGGTTCGATTCCCACAGCGGCGACAATCTTTTCGTTCTTTTTCTACATGTTTTAATGTTCAATCTTAAGTGAAGAGATTAGCACTATAAAAAAAACTTTAAAAAATAAAAACAAGTTCAATAATAAAATCAAAACATCGTTTCAAAAACTGACCTTGGTAAAACAGTGAGCTTTTATACAGCGTGTCTTTACAATCGCGACAATAAATGAACACACATATAGAGGATAACTTTTTTAAATTGTATTAAAAATTTACATTCTTTAAACATCAATATTTACCGAGTTATTAAATTTTCCAAAACAAACAATTTTAGAACATCCTTAAGTATAAAACTGTAACGTAAAGTTCATTTGTTAAGGTCACAAAGCATATGAATGGGTTGAATGAATTTAAAAGAGACAAAACATACTGTTAGAAGGAGAGGCTTGTAATGCGGCGCTGTGGCAACTAATGAAAAAGTCTCTGAATGGATGAATCAGCCAGTTGTAGTTGTATAGGATGTTACAAACTTTGTTTCTTTTTTACTTAATTAGTTTGTTTGAAAAATATTTGTTTTAATTATTTATTTCTTTTAACGTTAATATTTTTAATGATTATTGGCAAGTGGCGTTAGACGTGTGTTCATTTATTGTTGGCGTTGTAACGACACGCTGTATAGATAATAGCTGTTAATCGCGACTTCGCCCGCGCGGCCAAAGGGAATTAACAATGAGTTTTGTTTATACACCAAAATATTTCGCAGATGTCTGAATTTTTTCCCACTTAGTTGACACTTGTCATTACTTATATTTTGGACAATTCACACAATATCTTCATAAATTATAGCCTATGTGCACATTGATTGAAAGCACATCTAAAAGAATCATCGTCATCTACAAAAAATCCAAATTATTATAAATCATATTATACTTTCATAACAATTGTATACCGCGAAAGTGTGATATGTGATGTCATGGTTAGATAATTTTCTTAACATTCGAATTAATTATTATTTTATTATTCATTGACCAATAGTGGCTTATATAAGCAGTAATGATTATTATCTGTCTATCACACTGATAATAAAGTTACAGCCTATACATGTCCCACTGCTGGGCAAAGGCCTTCTCTATACAGAGGGTATCAGGGCATAGTCCACCACGCGGCCCCACTGCGGATTGGCGGACTTCATATACAGCGTGTTGTTACTATCGCGACAATAAATGAACACACGTCTAACGCTACTTGCCAATAATCATAAAAAATATTAATGTTAAACAAAATCCATAATATAAAAAATATATTTTTCAAACAAACTAATTAAGTAAAAAAGAAACAAAATTTGTAACATCCTATACAACTGGAGCCACAGCGTCGTATTACAAGCCTCTCCTTCTAACAGTATGTTTTGTCTCTTTTAATTCAACTCATTCATATGCTTTGTGACCTTTACAAATGAACGAACGGGGATCGAACTCAGGTTGCTCGAGTATAAATCGAATCTCGAATTTAAATTATGACGACGTGAATAGTGCACTTTCAAATATCCTCCACTGGTTTACTATTAATAATATGGTATTAAATGCCAAAAAAACCAGATGTATTCTTTTTACCCTTCCCAGTATAAGAAGGAAAAGTTTTAGTTTATTATTAAATAACGTACCCATTAATCCAGTTGAGTCTGCTGTATTTCTGGGAATTACAGTGGATTCAAAGCTCCAGTGGAGTCCCCATATATCATCTCTTGCGAATAGGCTGAGCTCCGCGGTTTTTGCGATTAGAAGGGTTAGGCAGCTAACAAACATCGACACTGCCAGACTTGTTTACTATAGTTATTTTCACAGCATCTTGTCGTACGGCATTTTGTTGTGGGGTAGTGCATCTGATATAAATTCTATATTTATTCTTCAAAATAGAGCTGTCCGAGCAATCTACAATATCGGAGCCCGGAATTCACTCAGAGATCTTTTCAAAGAGGTTAATATACTCACTGTTGCTTCTCAATACATTTATTGTAATGTTTTGTATATACGTCATAACCTTAATTATTACCTAAAGAATAGTGACAGACATAAAATAAACACTAGAAATAAGGACAAACTTACTACGCCATTGTTTCGTCTACAAAAAGTAAATAAGTCGTTCATGGGGCAAAGTGTGCGCATGTATAATAAAATCCCACAGTCGATATTAAGTCTGCCGTTTGACCAATTTAAATGTATAATTAAAAATCAACTGATGATTAAAGCATATTATACCATTTCGGAATATCTCGCAACGCCAATGTGTGGAGTTAATACTGTTGATACTCACGTAGACTAGAATAAGACTATTATACCTGTATATTATATTGTACCCTGATATTTTTGAAAAAGAGCAACTGTTGAGTTTCTTGCCGGTCTCTTCTCAACAGAAACCGCTTTCCGAACCGGTGGTACCTTACGAACCTATACACATAATCTTGATGTAAAATTTGACGATTCATAAGAGCGCGCAAGCGTCTATTTGAATAAATATATTTTTGATTTGATTTTGATTTTGATTTGATTTATATTGAATTAAAGGCGAGCGCCTGGACACTGAGCTATCACGGCTCACTGATAATAATGTCACGAAATAGGTATCATTTGTTCGTAGATGGGCATTAGTTGACACGGAATTTTGATAACAAAGTGTTTATTCCAATCTCACAGAACTGTTTCAGTGAGATTGGAAAAACATCCATGGAAAAGTCCGAGTATCTATGAAGGAGTACTTCAAATACGATTTTGTCGAGACGAATGATATTGAAGTTTCCGCTCGTATTAATAATCCGGTATTTTAGGACAAATATATTAGGACACATTTTTACACAACATTTTCTAGTCCCAAAACAAGCAAAGCTTGTACTATGGGTCTAGTACCCATAACTGATAAACATATTTAAACATACTTTTCTTTTGTACATTTGACATGACAAATAATCAGTACACCTATATCCCACTGCTGGGTAAAGGCCACGCAGTTCCTTTGCGGTACGGCTGACTTCACATGTTTTTACCTACGATTTTTTTTTTACTTTCTTTAAATATCAATATTTACCGAGTTATTAAATTATCCATAACAAATCGTTTTAGAATACCGGTATAAAACTGTAACGTAAAGTTCGTTTGTAAAGGTCGCAAAGCATATGAGATGAGTGAATGAATTTAAAAGAGATGTTTTATATTGTTAGGAAGAGACTTGTAATGCGACGTTGTGGCAACTAATGAAAGTCTCTAAATGTTATGAGTCAATCAGTTGTAGTTGTATAAAATGTTCTTAAATTTGGTTTCGTTTTAATTGTATTAGTTTGATTGAAAAAAATTTTTTTAATTGTTTTTTTGAACGTTTACATTTTTTTATGATTATTGGTAAGCAACGTTAGAAGAGAGTTCATTTATTGTCGCGGTTGTAACGCCATGCTGTATATGTCATATAATGTAAAGCGGTACAGTTTTTAAACGCTGCGCCTGGTGTGGACATGCGTCATCTTTTTTAAAACATCTCATGTTCACACGTCATGTTGATGTCACAATAAATACGTGTAATAAGTGTATAAGTGGAATAGATTAAAAATTAAAATCATTCATCCCTCGTAATACTACAAGGATTTAAGTCCATACCAGTTTTAAAGGAATATTTATGCGTCGATCTGTAGCAATACAGACTACTGTCCCTTGGTATCCCAGTTATCAAAACAATATACAATGTATAGAAAGGTTACAAAAAAATGTTAACTAAAGTCAGTTATATCGAAGGGACTTATCACACATTAAATAGCTATAGTAGCTAAAAGGCTTTAGGATTACCATATGGTTCCTTTAGTAAAGCTTTACGACTTAGTAAGTATAACTTTCTTGCACAAACTTTTAAGTTTTAAAATTGACTGTCGGCCTCTCTTCCTTGATATTGATATCGCTGTTCCAAGAATTAGTGCACGGCTAAATAATTACAAACATTTTCATATTAAAAAGAGACCTCTTACTTATACTTATTACTTTTACTTATCCTTTACTGACTAATACTATAAACGCGAAAGTTTGTATGTATGGATGAATGTTTGTTACTCTTTCGCGCAAATACCACTGAACGGATTTTAATGAAACTTTACAATAATATAGCTTATACACCAGAATAAGACATAGGCTATAATTTCTATACATATTTTTATGTATATCCGTCTTTCTGGCTGAATGTTACGCCCTCAACCTATTCTACACGGATGTAGTCGCGGGCAGCAGCTAGTAATGAATACGGCAGAAAGGCACCGCTATCACCCTTGTTGAATGCATTCAATTCTATTTTTCAAAATTGTGACGTGGATAAATATTTTGATATCTTAAATATTATAAAGAGTGAGAGGTGTTAGCACATTTCACAACCCAATGATTATTTCATTTTAAAAGTTTTCTTTTCTTTTCTCTTTTTTTTAATCTGTACGTTAAAAAAGTTATGTTTTTTTGTTCAGCCCTAGTGGTTATATCACCGTCCGGGAACGTGCGACCATGTATATCTTTCAGTATATATGTCTTATCTATGATGTATATCATCCGGTATACAGTGTTGCCAGCGAAAATATAACCACTAGTGCTGCTTGTCATTAAAAAAGATGTTCAAGTTCACTAATAGTTAAAATATTAGGATCAAAGTAAAAACGTTAGAACTCTTAATGTCTATGTCTTTAATTTAAATGCATTTATCTTTTTAATAAGATCAATTTTAATTTTTCAGTGCATCACATTAGACTAATAATTGTTTTTTTTTTTATGTATTTGATTGGTAAGCCTGTTTAAATATATAACAAAAATAGGTAAATAA